TATAGTGTGCGCTTCCCCACCGATATGCTAATTGAAATGTGAAAACGAGAAAAGAAATTCTTAAGAATCCTTATCGTGGCGGAAGGAAACAAAAGGAGCTCCTTGCTCCAGAAAAGTTGAATGAAAATGAGCACGCGGCCTCTCAATAAATTGAGTTAACCAGAGGCGAAATCTTAATGAATTGAATTAAATGTGAGATGGTTAATTTATTGAGTCGTAATCGGAAATCCATTCTTTTATTTGTATATAAATAAGACTAAGAATTGATTTATTAAATTGAATAAATATTGTAATATATATTTTTATATTAAGCTTTCACCAGTTGGCTGTTTCAATAGCTTTAGTTATAGTAATTGTAATTGAATTTTTTTTTAAAAGGTTTCTACAAGGCTAAACACTACTGTAATTTATAGCTTTTAAAACGCTTTCATTCGCACATCGATTAACAGGTAATTATGATATTTTTATTGAATTCTCCATGCTCAATTCGAGAAATTATATATTTTCTGGATACTGGCTCCCTGGTGAGTGGTCCGGGCCAAAGGACCGTTGAAGGGCTCTTCAATATTTTATCACAACGCGTGTGTCCGCACATTATTCATTAAAATTTGCTTCATCAACGGTGAGGGGGAGGAGGAGCGGTACGGCACGGCAAGGTCCTGTTCTGGCCAGTGAAAAAAAGCCGAGTCAGAGTCAGATCGCGAAATTGAAGCAAACGAGGCAGCAGTAAAAACTTCCAATTACTCAGGCGCATCGTCCATTCCGGGCACATGGAAAAAAAGGATACGGTACGCGAATGCATGTACACATGTACCCATACACATGTATGTACATGAAGATGGGGGTATCTGTGTGCTTTTAATATCCTTTTCTTTGAATAATTCATGCACACAGCGCTCCTGACCAGGCCCTCGGCCGAAACTCTTCAGCGGCAATCAGATGAGTTGACGAGGGCCGCCCGGAAGGGTTGCCATTCATTCATACCAAAGGCAAACTTATTAATTGGCACTTGAGCTGTGGTAACCACAGGCTCGTCATTGCCAGTCCAGTCCAGTCCGGTTCGGTCTTCCTCTCCCCATTTTCACGTACTCGCAGCCGGAGTACGGAGCCCCACATCGCCCCACGTCATTCAACTCTTTTGAGCGGGCATAATTTAACAGCGTTTCTGGTATTTTTTTTTTATCCTTTCCCCCGGCGCGTTTGTCAACTGAACGCTGGACAAGGACCCCATTGGATATTGCTGGTAATCCACTCGAACAACAACAACCGCGGCGACAACATTCGCCGGGTTTTTGACCACGGGGAGCGATGGTGGCAGTGAAGGACATGGTCTGAAGGATTCTGAAAATATCCAACAGCCATGGGAATTAAATCTGTTGTATCTCGAAATAATATGACCCTGGAATTGCCATTAATATTGATTCACTGGAAAAATAATTAAACAACATAAGCTTAGCTTTTATAAGTTTTTCTGTCATAAAAAGATTATTATTGTATGTGAAATATGTATATAATATATCTGCTTATAATAAGAGCCTCTTGGTACAGGAAAATCTTTTCTTTTCCTACTTTCTCGAGTTACTTTCGCATAAAATAACTTTCCAGCCAACAATGGGCGCATCATTCTGGAACTTTAGTTCCCTAGACATCCTTTACCGTTCTCCATTCACAGGGTATATGTTAAAATTTGACTGACAGCGCGACACATGAGACAACCTCATATCCTCAGACTCAGGCTCGGCGCCATTGTCACGTTTCAACATTTAAATTAAAATGTTTCGGCTAAGGGACGAGATGATGGAGTTGCGAGAATTTCCTTGCGTTCACTGGAGAGAAAAACCGCAGTGAACAAAAAAATCTCAGGCATATCCATTTAAATATGGCCCAGCCAAACGCAAAAAAGAAAAAACAAAAAGGGAAATACCCGGGAACGTAAAAAAATGCCTTGGTTGCGCTTTTTTCGCGCTGGTCGCTGTCTTTTGCAGTTGGCGTTCTGCACTTGAGAGCCGCCTGTGCTGTTTGTGTTGCTGCTGCCGCTGAAGTTCTTGTTGTTGTTGGTGATGCTGGTCGAGGAAGAGGTGGCCCTGGAGGTGGCACTGGAGGTAGCCTCCATCTCCTATCCAGCATCCGGGCAGCCGCCATTGCCAGTGGCAGCTTCGTTTTGACCATCGCCATTGCCGTCGCCTGCACTCGTCTTCATTTATTCAATGCCGCTTCGGCTCTGGGCCACACGGCGTATGCGTACTCTGCGAAATTCCATACAAGAAACTTTTTCGTTTCGAAAAGCTGAAAAAAAAGGCTCAGCAACACAACACAAAAAAAGGAACATTGAAATTGTGGCACAGAATGAGCATGTTTTCTTCAGCTTTCCAACAGCTTGTACTTAAAGAGTTCAGCCGGCTTTTTGTGGCTTCAATCTGAGCAGGAAAAAAAAACACAGTTGTCCTTTCAATCCCAGATTAGGATTCTCAATGGAAAGAAAAACGTGTCTTGGTTTTACACTTGTATATTTTATGTTTAAGAAATACGTTGCTGACTTGATTTACAATCCGATTAAGGCTCAACACCCGTAAGATTTGTTTTATTATGCATATAGGTTCTGAAATATGTAATTAATACGTTAGTGTTTTTACTTGTTTTAAGTATATATTTTAGTTGATACCTTTTTATTGTATCTTATTCTATGTTTGTTAATGATAAGAATAGATAATAAAGCAAGCTGTAAAACGCTTATATAATTGCTACAATCAGTTATCTACAAGATAGTCTAGTAGTCCGTATCTTAGGTTTTACAGTGACCTACTCTCATGTACATACTATCCATCCGTCCCTGACTGCAGTGTCCTTGTCGAATTATGCACTTTCATTAAGTAACTGCAATCAGGCGCATAAGGATCCTTATTCGAGAGCAATCTGTTGGCTTGGCTGGGCTGCCTTAACCTTGTGTCTGGCTCAGCGTGGCTTAATGCACTTTTAATTGAGCCGAGCAGCACCCGGCGAGGGAAATTGAAAAGAAGTGTAAATGGAAAATTATAATTAACATTGCCAGATGCCCGTCGTCATTGCCATCGCTTTAATTGCAATTTTGCATCAATCTGCAAGGTGAGAAGAGCAGATCTAAAATTGCGTATACGCCGTGTGTTTTCCATTAGTTGCCATAAATTATTGAAAATCAGGATTTATGCCCGAATTGTCACGTTCATGCGCCAAACTAGCACCCAGAGCCCAGTAACCGGCATTGTAATTGATTAATGCGAGTCTCTTGTTGGCATGTTCATGCAAAACGCAACACAAAAAAAATATGGGCTCTGAAATTTGCATATTTGAAATTATGACAATTACACGGAACTGTCAGTGTGCATATGTTTAATAATATCGATAATTTAATATTGTAAGGCAGCTTTAAAGAGCTCTTTTGTCTAAACGAAAAGAGAAATGTAAACAGGAAACGCATTTGGTTAACAGGCAACATTTTGCCAATATAAATAATTTCAATTAAACAAGACGAAAACCAAATAAAAGTCTACACTTTCTTATCCATCTTGCAAACATAATATTTCATTGTTCTCACTTTTAAATGACAACATTATTGTTTTGCAGTTTATCTAGATTTTTGATTTATATTTGGTCCCACAGCAAGCCTCAAAATTGGCCCAATAATATATTTGAAAGTATATTAGATGTCAGCTTCTTTGACTTTTATTTACTTTATTATTATTTGTCCCTCTTAACTCCGCTTTTGTACATAATTTGATGGCAATTTCCATTCAATTCGCACGACACGCACAGCATTTGTCTACACATATATTGCATTTCATTGACAGGCCTCCTTCTGTGCGTAGCAGCTGTCAGTTGCGAATGCGAATAAATTGTATTTTTGCAAAACCGAATTCAATTACCTAATGATTTGTTTTACATGCAGCTTTTTGTTCGTCTTCCCAAAACATCAGAGCATAGAGGAGATATGTATGAGAGTTTGGTTGTATTTTGGGGGCGGTGGCAGCATCATTCAATTGCCGAAATTCAAACGCACGAACAGTGCTTCAAATTAGTCAGTGGACTGGTTCCGTTTCTGTGGACACAGTCCGGCTGGTTTGGTCCATCAGTTGAACCAAACATTTATTTGATTTGGCCAATATGAATGAATGTTGGCAATGTCTGCCTCTCGGCCTGTTGATTGAGTGCATTTTATTCCGCAAATATTTGCTTTCAATAACAAATGTTGCCTTAGCTAATAAGTTAATTAATTCGAATTATATGTGGTATGAGAGGCTATCCATCAATCAATTAAAAATCACAAGTGCCAGAGGCTTTTCTATTTCTAATTCTGTTCAAATAATTGAATGAATGGATTCCCCTGGAAAATATTTTTGCCTTAAATAAACTCAAAGTCCAATCACGCAGATTGTGTCATAAAATCTAAGAATTTACTAATTTGTTTATGAGTTTATTATGTGCTAATAACAATTTTAACTTCCCATTGAGCCTCATTTTGTAATTAACTTTACGGTAAATAGATTGTGACACAATTTTGGTCAAGAAATTTGCTGTCGCCAGATAAGGAATTGGATTGCTTACTATTTTTACCAGGAAAAAAGTTCCAAGATGACCTAGTAGTTTTTTTTTTATGGTAATGTTCCGGTATAAATAAAATTAATTAAGATTTTGTATAGGAACATTGATTAGGGAATCTCCTAACTACTTTTATATCAAGTCCTTAGCCTTCACATTCATAATAACGTGTCTAAATTAACGAAAAGAGATTATTTTAGATGGCATCAGGTTCTTGCAACTCAAGTGGCCATAAGAAGTGGTTACCTATAGCGTCAGTTAAACATTGATTGGCATGGCGTTGCGTTTCCAACTTTTTGATATTTACGGCCGCATTCGTAATCGGCGGCCATAAAAGCCATAAAACCCTAATCTCTGCGATAATTTGGCCGTATAAGAAGGCACTTGGTCAGGCCAAAATTTGGCATTACGTCTTTTGAAACGTCGCGATGTGGAGCAACCGTTGCTCGATTTTTGTCCTGGCGCTGCTGATCGCCGGCAGTGCGGGAAAAGTGTTCGGCCGATTGCCAAGAATCCTGCCGGAAGCCTTGGCCGAAGGCGATGAAGGTGTCGTCGTGCGCGGAGACTGTGAATTTAAGGTCAACGGTGATCTGAATGATCCCGCTCCGCTATTTTCGCGTCACAATTCCTATGAAATCATCGTTCCCGATCCCACGGATACTGTGCGTCTTGTGAATGGCGAACTCCTTGATATGTTCTGCCCGGGAGTGGGTTTTGCGGCACCATTCGACAACCGAACACGGGTGACGGCTCAGTGTCTGCAGAACAAGTACTTCCTGGTCGATGATCTCATCTATCCTTTTGCAAACTTTTCCTGCACCCAGTGGGCCACTTTTACGGCTCTTCGAACGGGAGAGGACTGCAACGGTGGCACGGATCTCGTGAAGGTGGGCTTCGAGGTGGAGGATGGCGGCTTCCTGAAGACCTACGAACTCTGCCACGATGCCGAGGCGGAGGCCACGCGATATGTGCACCACGTGCTCTATCCCTCGAGCTATGACTATCAGCACGGAGTGGCGAGACCCAGTTTCATTGAACTCGACTTCTATGGCGGACGGGATGTGAACACAAAGTACACTCAGGTGCAGCAGAACATAACCATCAGTGGAATACTCGGCATGGACGCCTCACCGTTCTTCAACTACTCCGATGATCGGATCCTGGCCCGGGGACATATGATTGCCAAGACGGACACTATCTTTGGGGCTGCCCAAATGTCGACGTTCTTGTTTATCAACGTGGCTCCGCAGTGGCAGACCTTCAACGGCGGCAACTGGGAGAAGGTGGAAACCAGTGTTCGCAAGTTCGTGGCCGATCGTAATCTCACCGCTGATTGCTATACGGGCACTTACGGAATTTCCACTTTGCCGGACGTGAATGGTGTGGAGAGGGAACTTTATCTGGACTTTGATGAGAACAATAATGGTTTGATTCCCGTGCCCAATTTCTACTACCGTGTTGTGATCGATCAAGAGAGTCGAGAGGGCATCGTCCTCATTGGCATTAACAATCCTTATTTAACTTTGATGCAAATCCTGAAAGACTACATTCTGTGCGAGGATATTGGCCATCAGCTAAGCTGGTTGAGTTGGTACAAGGAGGATCTGCACGAAGGTTATTCATATGCCTGCACAGTGGAGGATTTTATTAAGGTAGTAAAGGACTTGCCTCTGGATGATCTATATACAAACGGTGTCCTTGGGCTGGATGATGTTACCACAGTGGCACCCTCGAGTACCACAGAAGAACCTAGCACGAGTTCGGATCTCCCGAGTACAGATTCTTCCACAACCACAGAGCCTGCAACGACTCCTAGTTCTACAACAGTTGCTTCTACAACTGAGGAATCCACTACTGAGGAGTCTACGACAGAATCAAGCTCATCTAGTGCTTTGCCTACCACTGTTTCATCGACAACTGAAGAATCCAGCACCACGACTGAAGAACCCAGTTCCTCCACAACTACTCCCACTGAAGAGCCAAGTTCCTCCACATCTACTTCCACTGAAGAACCAAGTTCCTCCACAGTCACTCCCACTGAAGAGCCGTCTTCAACCTCTTCGACTTCATCCACAACTTCAAGTCCCCCAGTAACCACTCCAAATCCCATTGCCAATCCCTGCAAGTTCAGCGTCAATGGCGACCTCAAGGATCCCGCACCGCTCTTGACTCCGCAAGGAGCTCTTAGCTGGTTGTTGCCCGACGAGAGTGGCGTCTACACCGTTGAAGAAGGATCCTCCATTGATCTTCACTGCACTGGAGCTCTGATCTCGCCCTTCAATCGATATACCGCTCTGACAGCTCGGTGCATTGGAAATCAGTTGTATGAGGCAGAGGGTCAGCAGGTTGGCATTCGCGGCTTTGTGTGCCAGAGTTGGCCCACCTATGAGGCAGTGCGATCCGGGGAGACCTGCGAGGGCGGCACTGACCTCGTCCAGATTGGTTTCGATGTAGCCGCTGGCTTCCTTAGCCACCTAGAGATCTGCTATGATCAGCAGGAGCAGATCTCGCGATATGCTCGCTATGAACTGACGCCAGCCAATGTGGCTTACCAGCGGGGAGTGGCCCAGCCGGGTTATCTTCGCGGCGACTTCTATACTGGCGAAGATGTCAACGTTCTTTACGGTCAGCCGCGTCAGTTGGAGTCATTCAATGACGCCCTGGGCCTGGATGCCAGTCAGTACTTCGATAGCTCCAAGGATCTCTACTTGACCCGTGGACAGCTGGCCGCTCGCCAAGATTTCGTCCACAGCTCTGCTCAGAGGGCTACGCACTTCTATGTGAACGCTGTTCCTCAGTGGAGGAGCACAAACATTGGCAATTGGCTCGCTGTGGAGTCCAGTCTGCGGCAGTTTGTGGCTAACCAAGGTCTGAATGTTAGTGTCCATGCTGGCAGCTACGGCATCGCTACGTTGCCAAACTCCCAAGGAGTCCAGACAGAGCTCTATTTGAATAGTGAAACCAAGCAGCTCCCAGTGCCTAGGATTCTCTACCGCCTTGTTATTGACCAGGCTACACGAGAGGGTGTGGTTCTCATTGTGGTCAACAATCCACACATAACTCTGGCCCAAACCCTGGACGATTATGTGGTCTGTGAGGATGTGGGTGCCCAATTGGATTGGTTGGACTGGGACAAGACTGACATCTCGAAGGGCTACTCATACGCCTGTGCTGTGGATGACTTTATTAAGATAGTGAAGGACTTACCCCTGGATCAACTAGAAACCACTGGCGTTCTGGGACTGTCCAGCCGGGATTTGGAGGATGAAGTGTGCAGCTTCCAGGTTAACGGAGGAGATCTGAAAGATCCGGCACCGCTCTTTGTTGTAAGAAATGAGCTGGGTCATGCCAGGTACTTGGAGCCCAATCACGAAGGCGTGGTGCAGTTGAAGCATGGGGAGGCCTTGGAATTTCACTGCATCAAGGACTTTACTGGAACCTTTGCGGGCTACACATTTGTGAATTCCACCTGCTGGCAGCAGCAGAGCTTCCTGGCCATGGGCAGTCTATATCAGCTCCAGGACTTTGTGTGCACCTCCTGGCCAACGTATACGGCTCGACGCACCAATCGACCATGCAATGGAGGCACTGATCTTCTGGAAGTAGGTTTCCAGCTTTCGGCCACCTCCTCGGATGACTTCCTGCAGATGTACGATGTGTGCCACAATGAACTTTCGGAGGTTACTCGTTATGTGCATCACGTCCTCTATCCGGGAAGCGCTCAGTACCAACGATCGGTGTCCAGGCCGACCTTCATACCCGGCGACTTTTACAACGGCAAGGATGTGAACAAGATGTACACCCAAATCCAGCAAAATATCACTGTCTCGGAGATCCTGGGCATGGATGCTTCACCCTACTTCGACATCAGCAGCAATGTCTACTTGGCTCGGGGCCACCTTTCGGCCAAAACGGACTTTGTCTTCGGTGCCGCTCAGCAGGCCACCTTCTTCTTTGTGAACGTGGCTCCCCAGTGGCAGACCTTCAATGCCGGCAACTGGGAACGGGTCGAGGATAGTGTGAGGAAATTTGTGGCCGATGAGAACATCACCGCGGACTGCTACACGGGTACTTGGGGTGTGTCCACCCTGCCCGATGTGAATGGCGTCGTGAGGGAGCTGTATCTGGACTTTGATGAGAATAACAATGGATTGATTCCAATTCCCAAGCTGTACTACCGCGTGGTCAGGGATCGAGCCAGCAAAAAGGGAATCGTTTTGATTGGAGTGAACAATCCTCATGCCGATTTGGAGCAAATTGCGAGGGAGTACCTTATCTGTGAGGATATTGGTGATAAACTGACTTGGGTCAGTTGGACCAAGGAGGATCTGAAGAAGGGATACTCCTACGCCTGCACCGTGGAAGATTTCACGGCTGTGGTTAAGGATCTGCCACTGGAAGATCTGGAGGTGGAGGGAGTGCTGGGTATTCAAGACTAGAAGAATGTGCTATAAATAACGAATTTCCTAATTTAAAACCAATAAAAATATAACCTACTTGCAGTATTTATTTTTCTGCTTGGAATGGCTTAAAGGCACGTTTAAATTTAGTTGTTCGGAGCCATAAAACTTGGAAATCACGTTCGGTTTTTGTTCTTTTTGAAGTTTATTGCATGTTGGACATATTGATAAGAGTCAGGTTATCAAATGCCCAACGTTATCGTTTATGGCCGGCACACAGCTATTTATTTGGCCTGCCATCGGACTGTTTGCTCACGTGCGGCACGTTTTCCAAAGCAGCTGGAATTCCCTTCCTCTATTCCAGTGGCCCAAATGTCAGTCCCTTGGCCCCGAATCCGTGCCCAAATCCCTCATCGAAGTCCCCATGGCAGTGACTTTCACATTTCTTATCGGGACAACGGCTTGCCTTCGCGGTTTCTTTTGTTTATCTTATCGCAATGCAATCGTCCCATCGCGTATTAAGTATACGCCAGCGTGGTTAATGATTGTAATGGACTTTTCAGGAGGTAAACAAGAGTATTAAAGGGGGAAAGATAGAACAGTCCACACGCATGTCTTGATTTATATTTGCTGAGTAATCTCTAAAGTACTTGGAGTTGTAGTGGGATTTAATGATGTGTGTATATAACTTTACTGTTTTTCGATCCATGAGAAGCATCGAATTTCTTTAATTAAAGCTTGAACTTCATTACGCTTTATACTAATACTTTTTTTACTTTATTTAATTTTACTTACTTTTTTTTAATTTATTACCTTTAGTTAGGGCTCTATTTATTTATACCTTGAACTTCGCTTAGGGCAAAGTTCTTTTAATTAACTTGTTGAATTCGATTAACCTACTGTTAAGGCATGAACTTTAAATGTCACATGTTTATATTATTGATATTCTCTCCAAAAAGTGTGACTAATACCGCCATAACATTCAATTATTTTAATATAAAGTGGTTTTGCGGAATTAATTTATCTAATAATAATTAAAATCTCTTTTCAAGCATAAAAATTTATATATAAATTAGAGGGCTTTAGCTGTACAGAGTTTAGTTGATTTCACCATTTCAGAGAAAAATGAAGCATATATTTACAATAGTTCTAATCATAGGAGCGGCAATCTGCATTCAAGGATATAAAAGTATGTAAGCTGTCAAGGATTAAGGCAACTTGCTATATACGTTTCCTCAAAATGACATAGGATTCGGTCTCGATTGTGAGGATATTGCCTGCGAATCGGGTGAAAGATGTATTATATCCAGGATACCATGCAATGCTCCCGACCAAAAGGAAGGAATACAATGTGGAACTTATCCGGAGTGTGAAAAAGGTGCGTGACTGAATATTTTCCCAACCGATTTCATCGCTCATTCTCATTGAAATCTGGCTATTCTCACTGATCCCTTTCAGATCAGCTGGCCAGGGATTTCTCCATCGACACCACACTGACCATCGCCAACACCCGCAGTAGCATCATCATACCCAGCACCAGCACGATTCGCAATCGGACGGACACGGACACGGGCACGGGCACGGATACGGATATGGACTTTGAGCTGCTGACCGATTTGGGAAATCCGGATAATTCCGCCACGCACGCGGGTCAGACTCAGGCCAATGTCCTGGTGATTGTGCAGGATGGGTCACAGCCTCAGCTTCAGCCAAATCCTTGGCTAAATCGCAGGCAGAATGTGCCCTGCACAGTGAATCCCCTGTATCCCTATGCCTGCAATTATCCCGGCTACGTGCCCAATCCCGGCATGGGATTACCATCCTATCCGCAGGCAAGGTCGGCCAATGGCCCTCAATTAGTTCCACCCACGCCGCCCTGCTATTACAATTGCTATCCCAGAGTGGGGACCAGTCCTTATGGACAATACAGGGGATATCCCCTGGCCAGGTCGGCCAATCCCTCATCGACCAATAACTATTTGCTATACCTTACGCTGTCGTCGGGCTGATAGAAAGTAGTTTTAAATATCATATTTTTCTCTGAATAAATATAGCAAAATATAGTTTCTAATGACTACCTTGGCGCCTATTTCTATTTTGTGTACTCACCAGCTCCGCACCGTTTCCGGCGATCGCCGCAAGTGCTATATCAACCGGTGGGAATGCCGGCTCCACCGCCGCCACCTGGGTATCCTTTACCACGTCCAATACCCCGCCAGGCCGCGCCCCAATATCCTGTGATCCGGCCTCAGCCCAATTCCCAATATGCGATCCAGGTTCAGCCCAATCCTCAACTCTACTTCTCAGTGGGGATGTCCTATCCGTCGTTTATGAATTACAATGGGCGTTCGGCCGGAAACCCTCCTACATCATTCTATAGTCCTTTTCTGCCCAATTATAATTCCTATTATTACAACATTAATTTACCCTTTTCGGGAGGATCCTCTTAGGATCATACTTGCCTTAATTTTTGTATCAATTACTTCCTCTTTTTCGTTTATAACTTCTGTTTATTTAAGGTTTATCTTAAATCACACATATTTGAAGAATACCTTTGAACTCTCTTATATTTTTAAATAAATCGTAGAGCCAGACACAAGTGTCCCCCGGGTTTCAAATCGAACTACTCGCCAGATTCCCATGCCTCCAAGACCCATGCCAGTGCCAGGACCTATGCCGATGCCAGGACCCATGCGGGTGCCGGGTCCAGTTCCAGTTCCAGGTCCCATGAGTGTTCCACCAGTACCGGGACGAGCCTATTATCCGCCGTATATGGGACAACCGATGCCAATGCCCGGACCCATACGGCCTCCGATGCCCATGATGCCAATGGTGCCACAGCCTGGAGTTCCAGGCCTTCCAATGGGTGGCGGAGGTACTAGTATTATTGTGGAGCCTTTAGTCATCCTTCCCATGGGTGCAGCCCCGGGAACGGGCATTAATCCCAATCAATATTATGGGGCTAATGGTGCTTATCCCAGCTACAACAATTACAATCCATATAACACGTACACCACGCCAATGCCAAACTATGACTATAATAATTATAATAACAATAACTATAATAATTACAATAATTACAACAACTATAGTGGCAGTAACAACAATTACAATGACTACAACTCATACGGTTAAATGTTAAATAAAATGTTTACTAAAATTCTTTTGGAGTAAAATAATTAGATTAATTATGCGTGAACATAAATGTTTTGTTGTTTTATTTTACTAAAACCTAAGCTAAGCAGAATTAAAATTCTTTATTGTAATTTACCCAGCGACAAAGGTTCAATACTGAGAGTTCAATTGTGTTTAATTCAGAGAGTTTAAAGCAAGGTAAATGTCAGAAAAAATTAATGAACAACATGATCAACGATTTCTTTATATATTTTGTTTATTATAAAGAAAGAAAATCGGGGACAAAACCCTGAGATAACTGAATATTTATTTACATTTCGCAAAGAAAGTTGAGGCAACCTAGACCTGAATACACCTTCGCATATCAGTTCAAAGAAGTCGGAAGAACTTTTACACAGCTCAGTGCCAGACAAATAAATAAATAAGCACATAATTATTTAACAGCCACAAAATGTCAATAATATTATCGCCGCTCTATTCTCTCTGAGAATCCAAATTGAGAAGCGGAAAGCGACGGCAGACAGCTTGACGCGACCGAGAGCGAAAGAGCGAGCTGAGAATATACGATAAAAACACCTGTTCGCCAAACAAATTTCACTCAGTCTGCGGTTAGACAGCCACCTTGGCGGTCGTTCGTTTCCAACACAGAATGAAGCCATCTCGTGGATACCATCTCATCGCGTTGCTGCTGGCGATCGTGATTCCGAGAGAGATTCGAGCACGTGAGGCCATCACTCCCAGTCCAGATGTGGGTCACATCATCAAAGATCTCGATGGATTGCATATTGATGGGACGAGATTTGATCCAGGTGAGTTTTAACAGCTGCGGTCGAAATAGTAGTTCGAAAAAAATAAAGAGATTATTGGAAAGTTGTAAATGATATTTATCAAATTTATCTAAGTACTATAGTTCAATGTGATTATATTTAAAATATAAAGTAAAGAGTGATTACCTTTGTCTTTGAATTGCTGATATTATTTATAGACTTTGTTTTGGGTCTTAGCTAATAACTATTTCCTGACAGCTGCTAGGCCAATTGTCTAGAGATTAGTATTCCACGAAATAATTTCTAAAAATATATAAACATATGTTACTCCAGGGACCACAACTTTAATAGTTAAGCAAAGTAATAATTAAAAAAAAAATCTAGACTTGTGTCATTTTTTTGCCCTTGTAGTTTATTATAATTTTAATCAGACCATTCATTTCCGACCCTATAAATCATATATTCTTGATCAACAGCCGATGCGATCTAGCTAGGTCCATAAAAACTAACATAAAAAACTTTTCGAATTAAATGAATGCATTTTTGTTGTTAAAAGTTTTTCAAAAAAAGTCAAATAAAATTATTTATAAATATTTAAAGAATGTGAACGTTTTAAGCTTAGTTATGACGGATTTCCAACTAAAATCAAATTTTTAACCTTTAAAAACATAAAATCCTAAAATAAAACTACTACCGTTTATTCTCTAAGTGTTCAATAACTGAGTTATTTTAATTTAGATGATTTCATAGACGCCTAAAAGCATGCTGTTAAACACCAAGTGCAAATTCCAGGTGCCCCCTGCAAGGTGGACGTGCAAAAGGATCTGCCCCGGCCCGACCAGGTGCAGCCCCTTTACCTCCGTCCCGGCACGGATCTTTACTGGCTGCCCAACATCGACGGGCAGCTGGAAATACCCCGCGGCGCCAGCATCGAGCTGCACTGCAGCCATTCCTTTACATCCATGGACACCAACCTGCGCTCGATACGGGTGCAGTGTGTGCAGGACACCACCTTCGCGTGGACGGGGTCTAAAATGAAATTCCGCGATTTCACCTGCTCCCATGCCATTCCCTACACCGTGGAGCGCCTGGACAGGCGTTGCGGGGATGACGCCGCGGAGACACCGAAGCACCCCGCGGCTTTCTGGTATCGCGTGGGCTACGACATCGGAGACGGCAGATTTGTGACCACCATGGAGCTGTGCCACGACCCGGATCTCTTGCGCACACACTACGCCCGCCACCAGCTTATACCAGCCAGCGTGCACTTCCAGAGGAACGTGAAGCGTCTGAAATTCAGTCCCGCCGGCCACTTCACCGGGTTGGACATAGCCAGGATTTACTCGCACCGAAACCAGGAGAAGGTGATAGATGCCGGCCTCATAGACATCAAGGCCGGGCTGTTTCTGGCCCGCGGACACCTGGCGGCCAAAGCGGACCTGATCTATGCCAGCCAGCAGAGGAGCAGCTTTAACTATGTCAACGTGGCGCCCCAGTGGCAGACCTTCAACGGTGGACTCTGGGCCAATCTGGAGGAGGCCACGCGGCGCTATGTGGCCAGCTCCGGTATCTCGGTCACCGTATACACGGGCACCTATGGCCAGATGAAGGTGGCCGGCAGCCGGGTCCTTCATATGGCCACCGATGCCAACAACAGCGGGGTGCTGGCCGTGCCCCAGCTCTTTTACCGCGTACTCATCGACAACGGGCAACCGAGGCGCGGCATTGCCCTGCTGGGTGTCAACAATCCACACGCCACTCTCGCCCAGATTCACGAGTCCTATATCATCTGTGATCCCGTCGAGGAGCAGGTGCCGTGGCTGGACTGGTTGCATAAAGGCAACGCCAAGGGTAAGCTGAAGCAGGGCTATCTCTATGCCTGCTCCGTGCCGGACCTGGCCCAAGTTGTTCACCAGCTGCCACGCCCCCTGCTCCAGGTGGACGAACTGCTGGCATAGATGCGGGCTCCGGTTTCGGTTTCGGTTTCCGGTTTTCGGTTTCCGGTTCCGCTTACCGTTTGTGTTGCAACGAGTGCAATAAAGACTGAGTGCTGGTGTGTCATCGACTCCTTTTTTGTCGCATACCACATCTCTATTCAATAAAATGGTTATTATATCGAGGATATAGGCAAAGAATTAAGAAAATATATTACCTTTATATTAATATATTATAAGTTATGAAGTCGTAGAATAATGACTTTGCCATAACAGTTTCCACAATATAATGAAATCACAGAGCTTAAAAAGCTGCATATGTATAAAATATAAAAACATTCATATTTAGAAAAAATTATCTAACAATCTATGAAATTCACAAAACGCTCTGCTTTTCTCTATATAAATATTTTCTATATCAAAAATCAAATAATTTATGTTTTCTTTCATTTAATCGATCAAACTATAATTTAGACTATTACGGTCTTGCCTTTCTTTTTGCTTTTATAGTAAAGCAATCCCAGGAAAAAGCTTTAACCGATTTTATAAATCAAACAAGTTAATTTCCATCAAGGAGTTATACTTTACCCATTCTCCTGTTATCCATCTGTGCCAGCTTTGGGTGTGTTTGCTTTTGTGCGTTTCGATTATTAACGCTCGTGTGAGCTTCACGCCATCAAAATCAAATGGGACATCGTGTGTGTGGTCATGTCGAGGGCGGGGCCACGCCCACTTCCTTTTGGGATGCCGGGGTAAAAATCGGAAACGATATAGCCTCGTTATGCGCGTTTGCCTTGTTGGCGGCAGAGCAAAATCGGTGGAAGAAACGAGGATATCAAATACGGTCCCGGCTGCATTACCTTCATGCCGAGCATACACACACAAAACACAATTTGTTCCACAACATTGATTTAATCCTTTTTCTTCTGGGCCACGCACACACCACACATTCATACACACACACACACACACACACACACACAAACACACACAAATGGCTGTCGTGAAGAATTTTCTTAAATTTTCCGCTGGGCTTTTCATGGCACTTCCTGTCGTGGCGCTGCGTCCTTGGCATTATCATGAATATTTTTGCCCTCCGTTGTGTGCCTTCGATACATTTCCATTTGCTGATTTGAAGCGCACTTTCCACTCGGCTTTCTTCTCTTTTGCTCTTTTCCGACTTTCCGTATTTTTTCCCCCCGATTTTCCGTTTTCCGCTCGCTTAGGTCAGACCCAGCATTTGGAAAGGGGCAAGCGAAATTATGTTTTTATGCTGGCTTGTGCGGTAAGCAATATTTGCTCAAGTATCCTTTACAGACTTTTGGGCAGTAATCATCAAATGGGGCGTAGAATGTTAGCCAATTTATGGTTTTGTGTTCCAAAGCAAATTAAAATTAAATTTTAAGTGACAAAAATGGCATTTAAGGTTCATTAGCTTGCCATATTATCATATTATATACATATATATATATGTCTTGGAAATAAATAAGTTCTGATTACAGTTTTCAAAAGAAATAAATATATAGTATATTTACCATAATTTCTTCTTATTAGAAGCTTAATTATGAAAAATTTTACAGCATATCGAAGAGTCTTAAAAATATCTTTCAAGGCACTGAAGATCTTAGGGCCACGGGTTCAAATCGGGTTCTAAGGTTATGCAAACGAATAATTCCTAAAAGGAAATGTAGACAAACTTTCAGCTCAAAATTCACAAAATTAAATGCTCCTCTTTTTTCGTTTTGAGTAGCTGCAAAACATTTGTAACAATTGTATTTCGCTTTAGGATATGGAATGGAGTGCAGCACGACGACCAAAGTCCAGACGACTTTTCTTTAGTGGCCATAACATTTCCCCTTAAAATTGAGAGGAAAAAAAGAAGAGAGCACAACAAATTGCCCTGTTGTTGTTTATCTTGTTATATTTTTCTTTTTGCTGACTTGATGAAGTTTATCTGGGGGCCAGAAGGAGCAGCGGGCAGTGGTAAAAAAGACGAATAATTGAACGCACTTCACGCAGATGTTGTCGGGATTCTTTTTTTTATGTCATTTGCCCGCACGGCCTGCCGCCCAGAAGGATATGTGTGTGTGCGTTGTGCTGTGTCCTGTGGCCTCCAGCGGAAATTATAATTTATATTTGGGTTTTCGCCCGGTCTCTGTGTATATTTTAATATCGCCACCTCTGCTTCCACGCGGCTCTTCTTTTATTTTGATTAAAATGCATATTAAATATTTGGCAAGCAAACAATAAAAAAAAAGAGAACACAACCGAAATGTATCAAATAAAATGTGTAAAAAAACAATACACATAAAAAATATAATATAAATAATTTCCTGCTACCGTCTGAATTTATTTCCCGCTGTGGGTCCTGTTTCCTTCCGTCCCGGCGATAAACTATATACATCCCAGGACCCACACACACATATGTATGTATGTATTGAGCTACGACCCGAGCCGAACTTGCTGCAAATCCTGTACTGCAAGGATATAAAAAGTAAACAAACAATGAAATTGTTCCCCTGTTTTCGGGTTTATTTACATGTGCGGATGGGCATATTTTGGAATTGAGGACACTGGCCCTACAGGAAGCTATAAGGCTTTTGATTAATATTGGAAATTGAGGCTCCCTTTGCCTTATGTCCTTATTGGTAGGGGCTTTAATCGATATGTGATAAGATCTTGTCAGAATTTATGGTAGATTTATGCAAAAATAAATTATAATAATATTAACTAGATTTATTTAAAGTTGTTTCTTTCAGAGAACTTTCTTTACGCTTGCCAAAGCGCTGTTTCCTTGTGACCCGAGCTTCAATTGGATTTTTATACCCTCAATTTGAGCAACAATTTTGCACATTTTGACCAGTTTTCCTTCTGTCCGGCTTTGAGAGCGAAACAACGGGCCAAAGTGAATAAAATACGTGCACACAATCCAAATGAAATAAGAGGAAAATATGAAAATTGGAGAATGCCGGAATGCAGAAAGAAAGGCGAGACGAGGACACGCTGGATGGGGATGGGGATTGGGGAGTGGAAATTCCGTTTCATTTTACTGGAAATTACAGCGGAGAATGTCCCCGGCAAGACAAGACGACGTTGACATCCAATATCCTTATTGTTGGCCAACGGAATTTATGGCTAACAAAGTCGTTAAGTAGGCTAAAGTGTGTGGCTTGCAACGGGGACCAATGCTATGGCTGCCTGCAGCCTGCAGCTGAGCGGAAAATGGCCAAGTCAGGGTCGGGTCGGGTCGGATCGAGTAATCGCAACTTGAAGCTAATGAGGTCATCAGTGTGCTCTGCCCGCTCCTACCCCCTAATATCCCATCCGAGTGTCAGGCCATCCGCATGCATCACATCACATCGTCGTGGCTGCGAAATTGAATTTTGAGTACTGCCAAAGTGCGGCCGCCAGGTAGGCTCCGATTCAGGTGTTTGATTAATGGGTCCCGGGACCTGTCCCTGTCCCAGTCCCTATCCCTGTTCTGTCGTAACCAAAAGGCGGATTTGAAACTTGTTTGCTGGTCACCCACTACACCACTCGCCGCAGTGACTGGTTAACCCAACAAGATCTGATTTCCATACCGATTGCGGCTTTGCCACTGCAATTACGGTTGCAGCAAATTGGAGAAGTGGTTTCCGAGCTTTAGATCAATTTTAAATTGATACAATTTTAGTGGGGAAATAGCTTAACTTTATTTAAATTTTAAGTGATTATTAGGCTTATAATAATCATCAGAATACTAGTAACTAGATTCCCTTTTCTGGGTACAAACAAAGCCAAACCCTTTTGCCTTCACTGTTCCCACCTTAGTCCAAGGACCTGGGCTGCCTTCACGGTAAATTCTATTATACTCTTGTTTATGATTTGACTTTAAAGACCCTTACACTCTCGATTGAAAGAAGCCAGGGGGATCAGCAGCAGGAACTGGTGCAGGAACAGGAAGAGGATGGGCAAATAAATTGGTTTCTGGCATAAAGGCCTGGAAACCCCCCTTAAAACCAAGGGACTGGCTCTGCGCCAGAATTTGAATATGTGTGTGTGTGTGAATATTTATGTACGAATATACATACTTCTAAAAACATTTCATAACCCAGCCCATAAAAAGCAACGATAATTTCATACCTTGCTGGCTTGTCGTCGCCAGGTGAGATCAAAGGGTTTGCCATTGTCCTTTGCGGCGTGAAGTCACATGAAAGTTTATGAATTCGCTTTAGGTGTGATGGTAATTAAATATGGTTCTTAAAATAAAGGCAAAATACTCGACAGATTTAGGATAAAGCTTTTTGGGAAAATAAGAGATGCTGCCAATAAAATATATGAATTGAAAGGGGTTTGCTTTTCAAGTTCAATTGCATGTTGAATTATCCCAAACTCACATGCTACTATATTTTACTTTTAGAAGAGTTGAAATCTAACTTGAATCTTTCTACTTACAATATTATAACTTCCAGAAGGCCGTAAAGAGTCATGTTCAAGTGAAATGATTGCGGGCAATCAGGGGAAAACGAGGAAGAGACCCGTAAAAGCAAGCATAAAACCGAGGCTACTGAAAAATGTAACAAGCCGCAGAAGAACAACAACTGCCACCCAAAATGGGTTAACACTCAGTTTTGTCCGTGCTTCCGTGTTTGAGGAGCATTCGGCGCTGCGCTTTTTATCATCTTTTCGGCCCGCCCAAAAGTCCCGGCCAAAGTTGAGCGCCGTCTTGGCCACAATTGGCATGTCGGTCTGCGGTCGGGTTGCTGCAACTGCAAGGCTGCAAGGATGTGGGCCACAAAAATGCGGCGACGGGGAGATTGCCACAACGAAACGAGCAACGGAAAGGTAACAACTGCGCGTCGGTGGGTTTGCAAATGACTTTGCCATGCTAACCAAATGGTTATCTTTCTGTTTCATTGTGGTGCTCCAGCAAGTGGATAACTTTCGGGGTTGCGAGTCCCAGGTAATTTGCATTTAAGCCAGAAAAATGGCAGGATTCTCGTCTCAGTCCTTGTAGATTGAAGCTCAGGTGTAATGGTTAAAGCAACGTTTAAATATCTTAGCCTTTATATGTTTAAGGTTCTTTAAATTTTTTAATAAAACCAATCATCATTTATAGATTTTTCTGTGTGCATGCTTACTCTTGTTTATAATCGTATCACCGAAAATTGATCAAATACGTGTAATTGATTTGTTTGTTTCTGGCAATCAATTGATTATTCGTTAGCCAAAGCCAGGAATTTAAAAGGCACACACAGTCCCAGTGTGATTTACACTTTACAGTTCAATGAACTGACCGCAGTTAAAGGAGAATTTCCCGGGGAGTGAGAAAATAGGAAAAGCGTTTGCCCGAGACACTTCAAGTGTAAATTTGATGGCCTCAAGTGCAGTCGATGATAAATCTCCATGCAACAATGGTGGATATATATATATATATATGTATATATAGGCCAAGCCATATATAGGCAAACAATATATAAATCTAAACGCCACTTTCACCCTCTGGTTTTATCGCTTTCGTTACTGGAAATCAATTGAACTGTGAACTGTGACGCTGCTCACAAAGAAGTATCGTATGTTACGTTTGTCGGGCCAATCACCGGCTTGTCGCCAGGATACAGGATACAGGACCAGGACCAGGACCCAGGATACCGGATATGGGTAAAAGTGAAAGCCCCGGCAATGGTGGTCATTAGGAGCTCCACTCTCGCCGTTCTGGCTATGCCAGCTTATCGTCCGGCTGACAAATTGCCGACTCCTGATGCCTCCAAAAATCCCCTACGGAGCAGACTTTAATTCTCAATGAAGTCGAAGTGAATAAAAAAGAGAATGTCCTGAAAACCCAGAAACATAAAAGCGAAAATGTATTTCAATCTATTTGGCACAGTCTATATAGGTGGGGCGGAGGCCAGAGAAGATTTACGGCACCGCTCTTGTTAAATGCTCTGTCAGGGAGACGGCAAACAAAAAGGGTCGAACCAATGGCAGGAATATGGATATTTCCCCTGAAATCGTTGAAAGCAACAGTTGAATTATTCAGCTTTATGCGAAATGGAGTTTAAAGCCACAGTTTCACTCAGTTCTTGAATGGGAAACTACAGAGTGAATGGCAATACAATTTGAAGGAGTAAAGAAAAAGTAAGCTGATCTATAGCTTATCATTTAAATGTTATATACCAATTTATTACTAATTTGTGACCTAAATTAAGTATTAGATTTTTAACTCTTTAAATAATAATAATAATGAGTATGGAGAATACTGGGCTCTTCATTATGGACTTGAGGATAATCCACTTTATTTAGCAGTTGCCAAGGGCCCTAGCTCTTCGTTTGCCGAACACGAAATCTCACGAATAATGTGAATGTGACAAGAATATAAATTCATATTACAGCAACTGTGAGTATAAAGTATAACGAGCAGGAGCAGGGACTCCTGTCCCCCATTTTCCCATTCCAGCCCCGAGAATGGGACTCTAATGTGACATTTATAAGTGCCGGGGCGACGGATGGGCGACGTTGCATGTGGCACACACTGACGAGCAACGAGAATTACAAAGTGCATTTTTCATCATTCTCCCAGAAGGCGAACACAAGTTGCACAACTATTTTTGAGTTACTCATATCATGTTCCCGCTTTGGCACTTGAGTATGCGAAATTTGCGACACACTTTAAAGTTCTTTGAGTAAGGCAAAAGCAAAGGCGAGTGTTCTCAAGTTGATTAGATAGAAGTTTCGGCCTAACCGGGTTTCCAGAGAGCAGCAGCATGAAATTTCCTTTTAATGCAGACTCCAAGCTCAGCCTCGAGTGCCATTAGTAAATTTGAGAAACATTATAGGACGTATAGGAGATCTTCTCCAAAATCACTGAACTAAGCCCCATTTAATACGTTCTCTTTGGACGGAAATGTTCTGGAAATAAATTAAGACTTAATAGAGTGTTTCTTGGATTTTGCAAATACTACCAACCTGGTGGGATATATCCTGCTTCTGACTGACAGCCGGTATTTCCACCTTAAAGGGAGGCTGCTGACCTAGTCTCTCGTCCATTCGTAACAAGTCTATTGCATCATTAAAGAAATGTTTGTTAACATTACCCACGGCTAGTCGAAGAAGCTTCAGCTTTTTGCAGCTTGCAATTATTGTGAGGAGGCTGTGGGAAATATCCAAAGACCGGGACATCCACAGACAGAGCTCCTCCAGGTTAGTGAGTTGTCCCAGGATCTCCACGCACTCGGTGGTGGCGCAAAAGCACGTGAGGTGCCTCAGGCTCTGGAGTCGTACTAGCTGGTAGGCCTCCTCGCTGCTGAGGCTTCCTCCGTCGATGGAAAGGTGCGTCAGTTGAGATTTGGCTGCCAGGGCCGAAAGAAGTGGCTCAAAGGAGCCACTGCGCCGGATCCCAAAGTGTGAGAGCTCTCGGAGCTTGGGAAGCTTAGCCAGAGGCTGGTACTCCGCGGACTCCGCTGTTATGCCGAATTTGAGAACCTCCAGATTCTTGCAGTGAGTCACAATAATATCCACAAGATTCTTCTGACAGCAGGCATAGCCCAAGTGGAGGCTGCGAAGACTGCCATTGGACTTGAAGCATTTCACCAGGCAAGCAGAGGGTACCTTCGGTATGAGAAGATGAAGGGTTTCTAGATTCTGGAGATTATGCAGGTGATCTACGCTGAAGTCTACAAAGGTTACCAGATGTTAGATTTCTTTTTAGTTAAGTTTATCTTCCTTTTATATTTCTTACCCTGAGTTGCTTGCAACTCGAGTCGTTTCAGTTCAGGTAAATGCCCAACGGCGGCCAAAACTTGATCGAACGGCTTGTCAATAGGTGCAATGTAAAACTTCATCTGCTTTATCACCAGGTTTTTTAACTGACTCATGCCAGTCAAGGTATGGCAGAGGATACCATAGCATTTTTCTGGTGTTGTGCATTTATGGGAAGTTCTTATGCTTTGTCCCGTATCAAAGTGGTCCAGATCAATTGTTAAAGTCTCCACCGCCTCGCGACAAATGCTTAATTGTATCAATTCCAAACGCAAACTGTTTTCGTCAATGGTAAAATCCCGATATTTATAACCGCACTGATTAATAAAAACCTGACGAAATCGCTGGCTCACCTGAGCAAAACTAATGCGATCTTCCGTAGTCAGAAATTCGAGTATATTACAAAGACAGTCGTCGTAAAGATCTGCTAGGTTTGTGGCACCCATTGCCAAAGCGGTCGAAGATAAACTAAAATTTAATTCCACTTTCTGAGCGAATGCAAACCTAAGGCCACATCAGTATAAACAACGATGAGTAATCTGGTGTTATTTTTGCCCCCCGATAAGAAATACGTACTCGCCGGCAATTGGCTGGGGAACCAGTTTGACGAGTCTGAATGAAACTGAATTATTGCAATTGATGAATAAAATAAATGCATTTCTGATGAAATATACATATATAAAGAGTAAACAATTTGTATACACTTGCATGGTGTTGCATTCTTTTAATAATGGGTATGGCACTGTTTATCCTCGTAAACTTTGTACTGACAAAGGTGTGCCTGAGATATGTTAGTCTTTTGTGGGTCAGAATTGATAGGAATTTCTTATTTAAAATCGTCCTTATGTAATCTGATGGCAGATTCCCTTTATTCCATTTATTTTCCATTTATTGGTTTTCTTCCTATATTCAGCTTGACCTTAACCCTGAGCTCTCTTAAATTCCTAATTCTGGCCAAGAGCTGTATATTTTTGGCTTGGCCCGGTCATTGATATTCCAAGGCATATTTGGCTATTTTTGTAATATAAATCATTGGCTCCTTAATTCATGATTTTCTTATTCGACTTTAAAAAAGATAAGTTAGGAAAAGCTACACAGAGGAAAATATTACAAATAATACATAGAAAGTCTAATCTTATATAAAATCTTAATCTTTTATATAAAAGACATTTAGTTTGATCCTCAAGTAATATTTTTTTGTTAGCATTAACTTTATTTTTTATATATGTATATAAGTAAAAAACAAAAGCAATGTCGCGTCCAGGTGTAAACGTAGCCCAAACTATTATAAAAACTTTATAATTGAATTTTTTTATAACTTGCCGCGCTGTCTGAACGACTTATCCTCACCATGGCCTTGCGAATATCCTGGTCTTGGTTTTTTTTCGCCGGGCTCGGGTCATAAAAAATCAAGGCAGGAGGAGCTAAAGCTGGAACATTTAATAGATGGAAGCATAAATTCGCGTGGCCAGGGTTACAATTAAGGGGGATATGCTCGGGTTATTGGTATCCGGTGCATCCCTGATGGGACCTTCGAGGTCGTCCCTTATCTTGTATTTTTATTGGCAAGTTCCCGGAAAAGTGACGCATTAAATACAGCTGATTAGGGTTATATGGCAAGCTGTGTAAATAATAAATAAGGGAATAACCCTTTGTGAACTCTTTTCTATTTTTGATGATAATTGATTATTTGTGTCTGACATGTTTTTGAGTTTTATTTACCCACAAGGACTGATGTTAGTTTGCGCTTCAATGATCTGTCAGCGTTTGTCGCCTATCCAGGAAAATGTGTGTAATTTAATCAGACGGCGGGCCGAGAAATAAAGTGAGCCTAATGTGAGAAAAAGATGACAGGCGATGTGTTTGCCAGTCGTCCTGCCCGCAAGGCAGGACCTTTTGATATTGTATTATGTTTTATCCTCAGCGTTGTCTCCGCTGAGCAAATGAGAATACCGCATTTGCATAAGTAAGAAAGTGTGAAAGTGAATGCGAGATTGCTGGCCCTATGTATCCTTTCTCGTAAGCCGTTTTTGCGCTTTTTGACAAATGACTTAAAGCCTTTTGGGGCCTCCGTCGGGCCATGAAAAGGGTTCAAGTAATTTGTTGAGACTCTTGAATATTGAATGCGAATGCGAATGCGGACCACGTGCAGGGACACGACGCAGAAGAATAAAAATGAAATATCTTTTTTGGCCAAGCATCAAAAAAAAAAAAAAAACAAGCTGCGAAGAAAAAGCGTTAACCGCCATGACACAAAATGCTTTATGTCCTAAGATGCTGAAATAAAATGCTTTATGGAATTATGGAATTGCGTAACACCATCAGATGTGTCACATCAACATTTCATAAGCCATTAAATATCCAATGACCCATTTAGTATGGGATTACTTTAGTTCAGACTTTTCAAATTAAAGCTAACCATGTTTTACAAATATTTTGAAGGCAAGTTCTAACCAGCTGTAACTGAAATATATAACCTAGATTCTGAAGTTATTAGTTACAATAGAAGTTAAGGTGAGTAAGGTTAGGGAAGCCCTTAAAGAAATCTTCTTGAATTAGGCATTGTCTAAGGCCATGCAATACATCTGGTCTGAAAACCCTTAACCCGAATGAACGCACATCTGTCTTTCATGTGCGTGATGAAAATCGCCCAAATATGAGTTCAGATTGGCTTATTCGTGTTGTTTGGGCCCGGTTCCATTTCGCTTTTATTGCAACAACTTGCGAGAATGTCCTTGTCCTTGGCCAAGCCATAGGAGCTGGAGGTGGTGCGCGTTTAATCCGGAAACTTATTTATGTATGCCTTTCCGGTCGTTTTCCTTGCCCGACGCATTTCTCGCATGTGTAAGTTCGTTTATTGTCGCACAGACAATCGCACAAACAAGGGTGTTTCGATGAGGACGGACAGGGGATCGGGAGGTGGCTTTATGCCATTCTTATGACGCCCGCGCACACATTCACTTTACATAAGGCGGTGTTTGTGTGTTGTGGTGCTACATATGCGTGAGGGTCCTTTGTAGCGCCAACGCTTCGGGAGGACATCTAGGCGGGTGCGAGTGTTTGTGTTGACAACACTTGATAATTCCTTGCATACACGCACTTTGACTGCAAGACACTATTCGTTTTATCCAATGCCATCGCATATACACTTGTCTCTGGATACTGGATACATGTACTTCCATTTACATCCTTGGGCATCCTGGCCAGGCAGTTCCTTGTCTGCGGCTTTGAATTATTTAAAATTGTTTCTTAGCGGAAGAAGGGATTCCCGCTATTATGTATTCATAAGGGGGCAAATCGATGGGTTATTTCGAAACATGATATTTGTCCTTGCTATAAATGTTGATTTACGGTATGTCCTGCGGCTGCCTCGTTTAGCTTTTAATCGTGCTTTGGGCTAAGTATTAATATTACAAGTCTAATGCCTTCTCTTAACCATTTTGTTGCAACCTTGGAACATGATACTTGGCCTTAAGACATCACTTATATTGCTTAATAAACACTTTATATTAAAAGGATAAAATGTTGGCTTTTTAAATAGGAAAATTAATAAAGGAAGTATAAAATTTCAAGAAAGTAAATTCTGTAATAATGATAAAATTCACTTCCTTGAAATGAAATAAAAATCTATCAGTAAATTTAAGAGGGAAAGTATTTCAAATATATTTTCCACCAAATTCTTGCAAATCTAGCAATATGTTTTTACCAATATTTGAAGCAAATACACCTTGAGTTTTGGTGGCTCGAACAAGAATGGCAATGGCAGGATGTGCGAACCCTTGCTGGGTTAATTTAATTAACGAGCAAGGCAAAGAAATTACTTCGAGGGCCGCTGAAAAGTTGTACAGCTGCGGCTGGCGGAGACCTTCGCGGAAAAGCCTGCGAAGGAAAAAGGAAAATGCCTGGCAGTTGGGCCATAGATCAAAGCACGCCTGCTGAGCACGGCTTTTCCGCTTTCCCTCCAGATGCTTGTATTTGCGCTTCCCGTGCGTGTGAGCTGTCAGCAGGTGAGTGTGCGGGGTATTTGTGTGTGCGTTGAGCCTGCTCGGTTTTATATAAAGTAGGTCAGTAGTAGTGCCGTGCCAATAAAAGTTAATGCTTTCAGGTCCTAGTGTGTGTGTGCCGGTGGGTGTGCATTGTGTGTCCTGGCCTGTTGATATTTTTTAATATTTATAGAATTTTAAAATGCCCGTTAAGTGTAGATATTAAACATTTAAATTCGAAAGGCAGGCGATTGGTTGAAGTTTTTCACACTTTTTGGCAGTGCTTTTAATCATTTGACTCGAGAACGTGTACTATTTGCCAATGGGAAACCGGATGGCACTGAACATTCTTTTACATTTTACAGAATTTTATGAAATTAACCTACTTGGTATTTCTGTATCTTTCTTCATAATCGCGGTAAAAAATAGTAAATTGTATTTCAAGATAAGAGTATTATCTTATCTTATCATGAATGTATATAAGTATCGTAATCAGCTATCTAATGCAGGTTGCAATTCAATTGCAGCAAAACAGTTATCAGCCTTTGGCTCACCACAATGGATGTAGGCACTGGAATTTTGGATCTTAACGATTATTGCCTACAGAAGATACTCCATTATGTGGACATTAAAGGACAAATCAGTTTTGCCCAAGCCTGTAATAGATTTCGGGATGTCTTCCTTGTCTGGTCGCGTTGTGAATACTCCTATGTTTCGATTATTGGTGATGTTGAACCAATGGAGTTGACCTTGCTGAGTCTGGTTGCCTCGAATGTCAGGAAGCTAAATATATTCGCTGACGATCTGGTTAGTTCATTCAATGACAATTATACAGACTTAAAGCACCATAATGTTGTTTCAAAATTCTGCAATCTGATTCGAACCATGGACAGCCTCAAGTCCATCAAGCTATGGCAAGTGAATCCCCATCCGATCGTCAAACAAATACTCAAGGCTCTAGTAGATTTACCCCGTTTGAGAAAACTATATTTGTGCATTCCAAGTAAGTGTTTGAAAAATTTTGATTAAAAAAGAACAAATCCTCTTAAATAACAAAGTTTTTATGTAAAGTGCGGGTGACGATAAACTTGGGAATGTTCCATCGGCGGGAGTTTGTCTCAACTCCCAGTGATATACTCCGACACTGCAAATCCCTGGCTAACCTGAGGACCCTCCATCTCTCCGATCAAGTGAGCAGCTCCAATCTGCGGGATATTGTGAAGCAGTTGCCTCATTTAAAGGATCTAAGCTTCTACATAGATCGATCTAATAATTGGAGTTTGTTTGCCTGCCATCGAGATACCAGAAACCATCTGACTAGGATCCTTGACTTTCTGGCCAGCGAAAGAAAACTGGAAATTCTCAAGATCAAGGGAGAAATAAACGCTGAGCATGAGGCCAAATCCCTGGCCAGTATCAAGTCCCTAAGGTCCCTGAATTGCAGTTTCGCTAGCCCAGATTTGGTTATTTATCTGACCGAACTTACTTCGCTCAGGAGCCTGCGAATAACTTTGCTGCATGACATGGATATAACATCCACATATCTACAGGTGATTCGAAGCTGCAAGGATCTGAGCTTCCTTCGCATCTTTGATTACAACATTAGTCCGAACTTTGTTTGCAGAGCCGCCGAAGTGCTGGAAGAGATCGAGTCCAAGAACACATTACATCTCCGAGTCCACGGCCGTCACAGTTCGAATTCATTGAAAGAGTTCAAGTCAAATGCTTTGGACCATAAAAATCTTTTATTTCGGTCCATATCAGCAACAGAACTTTTAACATTAATCTAAAACAAGAAAGGAAGCTAACTTCGGCTCGCCGAAGTTTTTATACCCTTGCAGATAGAACTTCTACGACTAGGAATTCATACAATATAAATTTTATATATTTGTGATAAAAAACAATGAAGTATTTTTCTCCACATCTAACGGTCGTTTGTATGGCACCTAAATGATATAGTCGTCCGATTTTCATAAAATTTGACACAAAATTTAAGACTGATACAAAATAGCTATACCTCTAATTTGATGAAAATCAGTTGAAAACTGAAAATGTTATAATTTTTAATTGTCTTAATTTCTCGATCGTTCCTATGGGAGCTATGATGTACATAGTTGTCCGATTTTCATAAAATTTTACACAAAATTGTAGAATAATATGAAATGACTATATCATAAATTTGATTAAATTCTGTTGAAAACTGAAAATGTTATAATTTTTTTTGTAAAAATTTTCCGATAATTTCTTTCTTTCAGTCTTTCAGTCTGCCTGTTTGAGTAATCATGAGCTACATGAGCTCTAAAATTTCAATTTTTATGAGCATTTTAAGCATTATTTTAAGTAAATGAAGTATTCATTTTGAGTCCTTCTTGTCTTGTGATAAAGAAAACATTTTCTTATTTATATCAATATAAATAAAATCTATTAAAAATAACCGAAAGAAAATGCTTTATTTATATTTTAGCCACGAATTTGGCCGAGTCGCCTAAGGCGGTGGGAAGTCTAAAAAGTTAAAAGTAAAATTCAGTGGCCTTCCAAGAGAGGAGAGCGGCTTTTCCAATTATGCGCAACTCCGAACTGTTAATGAAATGTGTCAGAAACAATTTGGTATAATTTTTCACTTAAAGCTGAAAACAATTTATAATTAGAAAAGGCCTCGGAGGTAGAGGAAAAGGAACGGGAAAAAATGGTTTTACCTGTTGGCAATCTACAAAGTCGTTGTTTTTTTTTGTTTCTTTTTTTTCCTTTTTATTTCGCAATGACAGACAACAGAGAGCGGGACAAACGAACAGTGATTGCGGATAGACGGAGATGGACAGGGACAGAGACAAGGACGGGAATGGGGATGGAGACGGGGAAAAACAAAATGGCAACTGTCGCAGACGGAAGTACGTCAAGTGTGGGCACAAAGGCGTCAAGCGAATGCCACGGATAAGCGGAAGTGGGCTGCAAGAAGAGAAGCAAGTTGGCGGGCCGGAAGCGGCCATTGTGTCCTTGCGGCGAGATAGGGGTTGCGGGCGGAAATTATTGTTTCTATTTTCGAATTTTTTGCTGACTGTTTGTCGGTTCAACTTTTCCATTTATGACGCACTCTTGCGGGAAACTGTCGCAGTTATATGCTATAACAAAATTTATATTTTGATAAAAAACCCACCACTCCCCAGTTAATGAATCCATTATCTTTTTGATTTCAGTTTGGCTTCAGCTGTCGAAGTTTTAGTTTCCACGAAATTGAACAAAGTTTTTTCCAACATTTATTGACTTCGATTTCGTGGTCAGACCGAGCTAGAATAACTGAAACTTTAAAGCCTTTAAGGCGAGTCGATTTCGAAATCGTGAGGCATTAATTAACTTGTCGTACAAGAGTCGGGAATTGATTGTCTTGTGCTCGCCGTCGTTTGAGAACTTGAGAAAGTAATTGCATCGTCTGACAAAGGCCCGAAACAAAACCGTGTGACCTTTTCACTGTTTACAATCTTCACTTACAACATTGCCTGGCCCCGAGCAGAAGTTGCAAAGTTTTTGGCAAAATCCTTTGGCTTGTTGACTCCTGAACTGGCCTGGCATGCTGCACTGCTGCTGCTTCATCGAATGATTTTGTAATTGGATATTTCGAAACATTTTAAAATGCTGTGCAAATTTCGGTGCCAAGATGCACAACTTGCTGAAGTGTTTCAATTAAAACTTGCTCAACTTGTTGACATTTATCGAACACAAAGCCATCAGTGTCGCATCCTGTTCTGACTAGGGTTTTGTCAAGCTCAATCCCTAGCACATATATATATATATAAATATATATGTATATTTATTACGTATCCTGCCGTCTTGACAGCCTGGGGTTTTCCGGGCAACAAAAAGACATTGATGGTAGTAGTTCCTAATGTCATTGTTGAGGGGTTCCTTTTCTTAGTCGTAGCTTACCGTAGTCACAATGGTATTTTCCAAGGAAGTGCATTTGCCAAGGGACATTTCACAGCAATAACCAGAAACAGAGCTCTGCAATCAATGAGTGTCTTTGAGTGTTGTTGTGTGGTGAACTTACTTATAGTTGGAAGCCATTTGATTTAGTCCAAGTTATTGAGTTATTTAGTTTTTTAGTAAGTTCTCTTTATGGACTTATCCTGACATGAATTTATCAGGCTTTAATAGCTTTATAACTGACTAAATGAGTTTGCGGTGTGCTTAATATATTTTCAATCATTTTAATCCTTTAAGAGCCATAATGATTTATTAATATACATTTTTAAGTGTTTTATCTAACATTTTTTTTAATGAAATCTTTATGCGTTTAATTGCCGCTTCATTTAAGCGTTTTTCTACATCTATCTAGCTTTTTGTTTTAAATACATTTTATTCTGATACTTAAAAAGCCATTCCATAAGCGTAATTGTACTGCCTATTAATGTATGCAAATATGGTGAAAAATGCATTAATGTGCACTTTTCTCTCTCATTAACTCAATGGCTCTGCTTATTGAGGCATTAAACAGATGTTTAACAAATAATTGACCTATTTCGTGGGACAAAGATTTGTTTTCAGGAACCAGAGATATTCGGGGGGATTAATGTCGGTCTGAAATGTGGAATTTATATTGCATGAAATTCGTTTGACAGACTTGCGTCGGCGAATTTCCCCAGGCCGGGGATTCTGTGACACACGTGCAAAGTGATTGCGTTTTGTTCCCATCAAAATACACATAAATAATCCAATTAATTGACAAGGCTTCCTTCGGGGACCTCGAATAATTGGTTTACGGCCAAAGGCATCACCAGCCAGTCCCTCTCCGCCCTCCACTCGCTCAAAGTGGCGGTTTGAAGTTTCAGACGCAGTTCCAGGGGTATCCGATGCTATATCCCCTCCTCACCTGCGAGTCTGCACAAAATGGCTAATTGGTTGCGCAGAAAGGTACATAATTGGCAAGGCGGGCTAACGGGCCATTCGGACCTGGAGCGAACGGTTTAATTGAATGTCCTGTGAAGGGTTCCCGGAGATAAAATAACCATCGCGTCGCCAGGGACCTCAAAATAACATATACCTTTCTTCTTTGGCTACAAATTGATCTCTCCAAAATGTATAAAAGTTTGCTTAATTAAATTGAATATATATTTAAATTTAATGAAGTAATCAACTAATTCAACTTTACATACATGATAAAGAGAAAAAAACTATATTTTAATAAATGAATTATTTTTAGAGAATATATAGTCAGATTTGTTGTTTTATTTTCTGGATGAAATTCTCATAATGCGTTTGTTTAATATTGTATAATTAATAATATCAGAACACAAACAAATGCTTGCCTATTTGATATTCCACTTAATAACTTTAAATGCATAAGTACATAATAAAATTCGCGGAGCAATTAAAGCCATTTACTGCAACTTTACATATTTAATATGTGCATCTTTAGGCTTACAATAATAAAGGTAAACAGGGCGGAAAAATATGAGACAAATCCTCTGCATTATCTGTCAGTTTTTTTCCTTTTTCATTATATATTCGCTTTTACAAATTTTAATAATTAAAACCATATAGAGTTAACTTGCCGACTTTAACGGCTGAATTGATGCGCCGAAAGCCAGCGAACCGATAAATTCGAGTTCATAATTCTTTGCAATGCATTTTGTAATTAAGTGCACAAATATTTATGCCTGGCTTGAGGGATGATATTTTTTCGCATTAAATGCATAATTAGCGCTGCTCTTTTTTTCTGTTATAATGTATTTTAATAAACTTTCGATGTATGCCTTAAATAAATATCGGGCAATGCGTTGACCTCTTGTAGCCTTGATTAAAATAAATGTACATCTGGCTTTTAAGGATGCCGCTGAATGCATTTTGTAGGCCAGGCCATGGCGTGGAATTTATATCTACATATGTGGGTTTTTTCCTGAATATAAATACATGTACATGCATATCTGCACTTTTTGCTCTCAGCTCTTATCGCTGAATGTGAATGGAAAACCCGCAGCCGAAATGTGAGAATTCATTCAATTGCAATTGCAAATTTGTGTCACTGAACTGTGAAACAATAAAGATTATCCCGGCCGGAGATGAGAATGCGATGTATGACCGGGTTTCGGTTACCAATTTAAATATCAGTTGTCAAGTGAAGCCAAAAGGGGAGAAAACAAAAGAGGGGAAAACAGGAAAACTTATCTCCCCTCGACGACGACGAAGCCATTATTGAATACTCACGGTTTGAGTGGGATCCTTGCTAATGAGAGGGAAATTAACACAAATATTTATGGTATATACTCGACTCTCGGTCTTCTGGCTAGTCCAAGACCTGGATTAATGGCAAATAAAAAGGCCACAAGAATCTGGTTTCACGGACGAGTGCATCCGTTGACATTGTCTGATTAAAAGTGAACTTAAGCGACCTGACTGATTGGGACGTTCTTTGTGTGTTTCTGGGCCACTGTTTGCCCAGATCCGCATCATGATTGGCTTTCGATTTGTTTTGCCAAGTTGTGTCTGGGCTGGCTATTTGCACGGCACTCAACTACTTTGCAGATTTGGTCGCTCTGCATAAACATACTGCCATGTCGGCATATTTAATTAGCAGTAGTCTCACAAAATTGCCCGACAGCTGACAAATTATGCCAATGTGTCCGTGTGTCGGCGTGTCCTTGTGTCTGTCGGGCCCTAATGCACTCGGCCTAAATAATTTAACATTCATTGTCTCTGCCGGACGTTTCCCTTACCCCCCCCCCTGTCCTTCCTGGGCCAGTGTGTAAATGTGTGTGTATTTCAACGAGTTTTCAGTGTGTAAATAAAACAGGGGCTGCTCGATGCTTAGTTGGCATCGCACACGGCGTATACGCAATTTGCATTGTATTCCAGCCTGCCCCCAGGCACTTTCAACACTGCAACACACAGCCAGAACACACACGCACACACAGTGCCAAGAGTGCCAGCTGTTGTCTATTAAATGTCAATTTCAATTTGTATCTGGCTTAAAAATTGCAATTGCAAAACCTTGCCAATCAGCGGCCCAATCCAATTAGAGGGTTCCTGCTGCTAAACGTGAGAAGGCCCCGAATTCCACAAATATTTGACTGCTTGGTCATTTAAAATTTTCAAATTCCTGAAATGGCGCCGATAATAATTGCAACAGCATTATTGTTGTAATTAATACATTAAACTATGTTTGCTGGTCACACTTATTTTACAAGCTATCATTTAAAGTCTTGAAAAATGTATTTATTTATAAGCTCAGTGCTATTATTTCGACCGCTATTGTAATTAAATTATTTTTTCTATTCTCAAAAGTCATATGTCTTATCGCGACAGCAATCGATTCCCCAAGTGTAATTATTTAATTACGTCATAAGCCGCAGCACAGCTGACACTCTGCCTGCGTCATGAAATTCCGCTCAATTGCACTTCCCGAAAATAAACACCTGTCATTCAGTTGGGCGGAAGAGAAAACATAGTTATCCTTCCACTAGCAGGAAGTAGAGATCATTTTCGGAAAGCGACAAGTTTGTTGAATTTAATCAAAATGCAAAATCACACGTTTAGCAAATACTTGTCCTTTTCCGGTTTGTCAGTACATGAACATACATATGACCATAATTTATTAAATTTCTCTCACAGGAGCTGCAGTCCCATCATTCAATTTCCACGTGTAAATTGAATTTATTTAATTGCAAGACAAAAGTGGCTGTCAATGAAATGTATGACCCTCTTTTTTATTTTAGTACCTTGAATGAGTTTATTTAGTTTTTTACAAATATCATACAATCATATCATACCATTCTCTTCCACTATCCATGGTTCTCAAGATCATACGTTTGAATGGGCCGGTAATTAGTGCCTGCAATTAATGGGAAATAAATGAAAGGAAGCAAACTTCGGAAAATTCAGAAATTTTGTATACCCTTGCAGAGAAAATCCAGCATAAATTAGTAAAAAATACATTAATTTTTAAACGGAGAGAATGATAATGATGGAATCGGAAATCAATCATAACTAAGTAACTGCATGCTTCTGACTACAATTTTAATACCCTTGCAAGGGTATAAAAATAAAGGAAAAGGTAAAATGTTTAAACTACTTACCTGTTGCTCAGAGGTTGTTGGTTCAGTTGTCAAAAGGCAGACGTCCAGATCATATTGTATGGCTGAATCTCTATGTTCCATTACTACGTTTTGAAGAGTTCCGACAAACGCCGCGTTTATTCCGCTAACAGGCACCTTGATAGTAAATGAACTTAATTTTCTGCAATTATTTAATATAGGCGACAGGCTGAAGTGCAAGTCCTGCGGATCATGCTCAGATATTACCTCAACCTCTTCCAAATCTTTTAGTTTGGCTAGTCGCTGAATAAACTCAAGCTTTTCTAAGCTAACAGAGACTTTCCGAAGGTTACTTAGAAAGGTTAACGCCACAACTAATGATTCGTTAAGGCAATAACAATTGGGGATTTCGAATAGAGAGCCAGCTATATGAATACAAATTGCCTGTAGCGTTTTTTTGTGATATTTTATAAGGCTTTCGAGGAAGCGGATGGTTGGCAGTTCTCGGGTAACCAAATGGAAAGAGCACAAATCTTTGACCAATGGGAGGGGAATTTCTTCATTCGTATAGTCGCTTTCGTATCTCATTGTTAGTTTTCTCGATTCGTGTTGCAGAGTAATATTACAGGCACCTTTGATTTCAATGCCCAGGTTCAAGAACAAGTGGAGGTTCCTTCCCATCTCCACGAATAATTTATTAGATAACCAGAGAGACTTTAGGTTCTCTAACCTTAGAAGAGGATCTAAACTAACAAACCTAAAGAGTGCCGCATCATTAGTTTTAATATAGAGGTGTCCTAGTTCATTTAAGGCCATTTTGGTAAAGGAATTTGACACAGTGACTTGTTCACTTAGGAGCTCAGCAACATCATCCGTAATAATGTGATCCCTATTGCGGATGATCAGTTGGTTGAGCTTTGGGCGTCTCTTCAGGTGCTCAATACTCTTGATATTGCAAAATCCGCATTCCAGCAGCTTTAAGCCTTTAATCTGGGCAATAGCCTGGACGACATCGTCACTAATCTTGAACTTTAGCCGGAGTTGAACTAACTTGGACGTTTTCTTATCCGAAAGAGCCTTGATGAGTAGGAGTAGAGATGTGCTATTATCTAAGGTTGAGTCGTCCTCATGATCGGGGTCCAATCGAGCTCCTTTGGATGCAATGTCCTCGGGGTGATGGTCTTCATCCCAGCCAAAGTCCATAATCTGCACCGGCTGTTTAACAATTTCCAGGTGCTGCAGCTTATCCAGGAGCGCCAGCTTTACATATTCCCTATCTCGGGCATTATCGCTTATCACGAACTTTAGTTGCTTCAGCGCAGGGCAATGACCAACGATTTGGTTTAGCTGTCCATGATCGGAGAAGCTATTGTAGTGGCGACTGAAGACCCTGCCACGGAAATCAGCCTAGAAGGATGCTACGCTTTATGTGAAGCCTAAGCCTAGCTTCGCCAGTTTTGGCGATCACGTAAAGGTGGTCAAGCGACTACGTAACAAAGCTTTGAGCAAGCTTGCACGTGCCGTAATGTAGAGCTGCATTTAATTAAAACGCGTTTTGGCATATTTAACAGAGAATTTACATTTGCTCTGAAGACGAAGAAGAGCGCATTTGCCAATTAGGAAATTTTTTCAAGCAGACTTTCCGTTTCCGTGGGAGGTCTTTTTAAATCAAGGTCTAGAAGAGCATAGACGTGTCGGGTGCTCGTAATTATCAATAAATCAGACAGTGGCAGTGAATCGCGTAAACCAAGTGTTGAAGTGGCCGCTGAAAGCTTCGCAGAAAAAGTGAGTAGAGAAGTGCCAAATTTGTGGGGCACAGTGAGTAACCTTTTTGTTGCCCAGGTTAGGAAAACTAGAAAATTGGAGGCAGCAAAGCAGCGTCGACGCACGGCCAGGGCCAAAGGTCGACAAGACCTTTCGCCAAGGGAAAATCCCTTAATTTTGTTACCAGGGCTCAAGCCAGCGGGTAATTATGAAAATAGAGTGTTTGTTAAAGGCAGTGCTTACTGTTTGAATGGAAAAATTTACAGATTGGGCCCTGCAGTAAAGAGTCAAGTCCCTAGGCAAGGGGTACCCCTAACCTGAGGGGATGAAGTAGAGAAGCTACAACCAGCGCAGGAGGAGCCGATCCCCAGGAAAAATCAGGCCAACAGCGCGGATGCGCAACTCATCTCTTGGCCAGCTTCGCGTCGGGAAAAGCGATTAATTCTTTTTTTTGTGAAAATTTTGCTAACCACGCGGGTTAACCTTGACCTGACCCCTGTGTTCTAACCTCCTCCTAATGCAAGTGAAGAATAATTTTAAATAGGGTTTTACCCTTAAAGCCCATTTTGGTTACTTTTTCTTCTGAGTTTTGTGCGAACAATTTGCTCTAACAAAGACAAGGTGATTAATGGCCCAAAACATTTGTTAATATTGGCCTTTGAATTTAAAAACTTATGCTCGAATTATGCTCTCGATCTGCTTGCGTCTAGCCGTGAATTTAATGAAGCCGAATAACGAAAATTTATGCTGAATTTCCAATATTTTAATTTAATTTATTATTCATTTAGTTTTTTAATTTAATTTTTACACCTTTATTTTTTTTACTTCAAATTAAGTTCCATTGTTGCATAGCAAAAAGAATAATAATATAAGAAAATAGGGCCATTCGGACTTTAACCCCTTTTTTCCAGAGAAAAGCTTCGAGGGAGATCGATCTTCGCCGATGGAAAATTGAGTGAGTCTAAAAAAAAAAAAAAGCCATTCGAATGAAAACATGCAATTGAAAAAAAAATGGAAAATACTTGAAAACTTAAACAATTTAAAATGATTTAATTTAAAATATACAAAAATAAAATCTCCATAAGCTAATGCAACAATTGAAATTGAAATTGAAATGAACTAAAGACATGAAGTAAATTTATTTTAATAGTTAATAGAAAAGAGAAAACATGAAGTAAACGAACATTTAATAATACAAATTAAATTTGATTTAAACTTTTAAGAAAAATTATTTCTTTTGAATTTTGTGCACAATTTTTAAACACATATATGTACATCTATGCACCTCCTTAATTTTATACATTTTAATTTTAGCTTATATTTATCTTTGTTAGCTTTAAGTATTGAATTAATTTTATTAAACCTGTTTTAATTTTAAAAATCATGTTAGCTTAAAAACCGGTATATACCGACTCGTAGGATGACTCCACGGTCGTAGGGTCCTAAAGGGATCACCAGAGCCATGCTCTTGCGGCAGGTGATCGTAGGTTGGGTGGGCACAAAGCGAGCACAACAACATCTGTGTCTCTGCATTGTATAGATTTTCTCTCTGTCTTCTCTTCTCTCTACTTCCGCTTTTCTTCTATCTTCTTTATGTTGTGTGAATGTTGTTTATCATTTCTTCCGGTTTTGTTCTAGCTTTTATTTTGTCGCAGCACGCTCAAGTCTAGTCTTTGTAATAATAATGTGTAGTCGTTGTCCGAGATCTGGGTGAGCAAGACCTCCACCCCCAAAGCCGACGAGCTAGAGCCGGAAAAATAAAGCGTGCCCCAGCAGCCCAGATCCTCACCAACCCCGACGAACTTTATGGTTGCACGCTACAGTTATAATTCATTATTATTATTAAGAAAAGTGGCGCCCAAACGTGTGGAGCCTTAGTAAAAAAATTATTTTTTATTAAGACTCGCGTATAGACAAATTCAACACATTCTACTTTAACTCTCTCTTGTATTTTATACCCTTATTTGCAACAATTTCGTTTTATTTATTCTTGGATAACAGCTTTTTGAATATTTGTATTTGTAACTGTCCAGAATTTTAAAGTTTGGTTGTTTGTTTTAATAAAAATAGTTTTTTATTAAGTCTTAAGGGTAAATAAATTCTTTCTATTTTAGTTAATTTGAACTAGCTTTCAACTTCTTCAAACTGGTGTTAAATTTTTTTGTTTTGTCTTAATTAGTCTTGGAAAACAGTTGTGATAAATATTAGTATTTCCAACTGGCCAGACTTAAAGGGAAACAAAAGATTTTCCTACATTGAGAGGAAGTGACAAGGTGCCGTTAAATTGAGGAAACAGAGAGGGCAATACAAAGAGCATTTTCTGTCCCAATTTTATAGCACTAAGTCATGAAACTAGTCTCGACTTTGAACTCAACTCTATGGAAAATTCTGGCATTTCTTTCGAGTCGTGCCATATCCTGGAAAAGTAATTTACAGCTTTCTTTAACTTTCTTTCTAATCTTTTCTTGAAGCTTTATTTTTCTAGATCGTATTCTGGAATACATGCGAACGTGTTTCCGAACTATTCGATGTCCGAATTCGAAATAAATAAGTATCGCTTCCCTTGTTCTGAATAGGTCTTGAACCTAATCAAAAATCTTTTATTTTTCCAATCTTTCAACTTCTGAGAAAATCAATTTAAAATGACCCTTCGATACGTGTGACATCTAGAGTTCGGTAAATACAATTTGATTACTTTATTCTTGATTTATTCACGATATTTCATCTCATAATTTTCTATATTTTTTGGCTTAAGTTATTTAAACATTTTGGCTATATTTATCGCAAAGAAGCAGAGGGTTCTGAGAATTCGATTGCAGCAAGTTAACTGCTATCGGAACAAGATCTCATTTGTCGAATTTAATTCGTATTTTTTTATTGTTGAGATTTTCTTGGGAACGATGGGGTTAGACCGCTCTCCAGAAAGGGGGGCTGAATCAGGCCCAAGCTATAATTGTCCGATATGTAAGGCAGATATAAACACTGCCGAGGTCTTTGTAACCTCATGCCAACACGAGTTTCACAAGCGATGCATAGAAGCTCACTGGAAGGATAGCGCACAATGTCCGGTGTGCAAAGTATCTTGTAGACCAGCTATCTCAAAGCCTATAGAGGGATCTGACAGGCAAACCCGAAGTGGCTCGAAGAAACGGCAGCCGTTAGATACAGTTTCTCAGCAAGCATTGGATAATACAGCTTCAACCTCGGGACAAAGTTCACAAACGAACACAAGTGGGGTCAACAATTCAAGCGTTTTGACGGCTAATGCTATTACTTTACTGGCTATGGAGCGAAGGTTACTGGCTACGCTTTCAGAGAGGATGACCGATTTAATACAAAATTCCGTAACAGATTGTATCACCAGGGCGTTAGCTAATTCAAGTCGAGGTATGGACAGTGCTCAGAGTGAGCATTCTTCACAGCGGTCGCTGGGAAACGATGATGTTAGGGGCGGATCTAGAAATGAATCCAGAAGCGAATCAAGACAAGTCCTCTTGGCTCCTGGTTCTCCCGCTTCTCAAAGAAGCACTTCCTCCGACTTAATAAACCGACCAGATAAAGTCGTGCATATCCTGAACGGATGGAAAATCAAATTTTCGGGCACAGGAGTATCTGTAGACAATTTTATTTACAGAGTTGATACATTGACTCGGGAGACTTTAGGCAACAATTTCTCTTTGCTGTGCAAACATGCTAGTGTCCTATTTGAAGGCAAAGCAAACGAGTTTTACTGGCGATACCATAAAGCTCATGGAGAAATTAATTGGGACAGTTTCTGTTCAGCTTTGCGCCTTCAGTTTCGGCAGAGCAGAGACGATGGCGATATCGAAGAATTAGTTAGAAACACTAAACAAAAGCCGAACGAATCGTTCGATTGTTTTTATGATACCATTACTGCATTAGTCGATCAGCTGGAACATCCCTGGACATCGAATAAGTTAATTCGTGTTCTGAGAAACAATTTGCGGCCAGAGATTAGACATGAAATATTAAATATTCAGATTAATTCAGTTTCTGAGTTAAGAGAGATTTGTCGCAGGCGCGAAGCCTTTTTAGCCGATGTTAAGCGGTCCAGTGGCTACGCGCGAAGCACTCCGTTTAGAAGGGAAGTGTCAGAGTTTGGTCAGGAATATGAGGCTCAGATAGATTCCGAACCTGAAACTGATGGCGACGTCGAAGCGTTTTCTTTGTTGTGCTGGAATTGCCGCAAAGAAGGCCACCGATATCAAGATTGCGTTTCGGAGAGAAGAGTATTTTGTTACGGTTGTGGAGCTGCAAATACTTACAAGCCAAGTTGCAGTAAGTGTTCAAAAAACTCCAAAGCCGGCATGTCGAAGTCGCAATTCAGACAGAAGACTTCGAGTGCCTCCCGGAACCAAGCCACGATGACCGAAGAATAGAAGATGCAGCTAATGTTGCTCAACTTCCTTTCCCTGACATTCAACAATTACCTAGTCCCTTGCTACATAGCAAAATCTCGGACTTAAGAGAAATAATTTTACCGGAAGATAACTTTAAATTACAGGATGTACAGCAACAAAGGTCTCGCAATTCTACTCGCATAAAATCATTCTGGCAAAATGTTAAACAATGTAGAATTGGCATCGAGTACATAAGCTCTCTACCGACAGGACCAAAAGATCCTCGACCCTTTTTGCCAATTAATATGTTAGGTCGAGTAGTTTATGGCCTTTTAGACTCCGGCGCATCAATAAGTTGTGTTGGAGGTAACTTAGCTCGTGAGGTAATGACCAAAGGGGATTACAAAGCAATTAACAGCAATGCTGCTACGGCTGATGGCCGACCACAGCAGATACTAGGATATTTCAAGGCGGATGTTGAGTACGCCGACGTAAAGAAACTGGTGAAAATTTACATAGTGCCCTCACTGAAGCAGGATTTGTATCTTGGGATAGATTTTTGGAAACTTTACGATCTTCTTCCCAGGAATTTGTTTATTTCCGAATTAGACGCAACGGAGACTGACTGCAAGGACAAAGCTGACCAGCATCAATTGTCCGATATAAATAAAGCCAAGTTGGCGAATGTTGTGAATTGTTTTCCATCATTTAGTCAGGAAGGACTCGGTAGGACCAATCTCATATCCCATTCCATTGACGTGGGCAATGCAAAACCAATTAAACAACGCCATTTCCCTGTCTCGCCGGCCATAGAAAAGGCAATGTATGCCGAAATTGACAGGATGTTGCAGCTTGGGGTAATAGAGGAGTCCGACAGTGCATGGTCTTCTCCAATCGTTATGGTTACGAAGCCTGGAAAGGTTAGAATTTGTTTGGACTGTCGCAAGGTGAACAGTTTCACCGAAAAGGATGCATATCCTTTACCTCAAATTAGTGGCATTCTGAGTCGCTTGCCGAAGGCTGAATATATAACTAGTCTTGATCTAAAGGACGCTTATTGGCAAGTGCCTTTAGACGTGGCTTCGCGCGACAAGACAGCGTTCACTGTTCCTGGTAGACCGCTCTATCAGTTTAAAGTAATGCCGTTCGGGCTGTGCAACGCTACTAGTACAATGTCTCGGTTGATGGACAAAATAGTGCCAGCTCATCTTAGGAACGAGGTTTTCATTTACCTAGATGATCTCTTGTCAGATCACTTCTGCATGCTGAGGGTTCGATATTTGGGCCATATAATCGGCGATGGTGGGATTCGAACTGACCCTGATAAGGTTGCAGCAATTAGAAATTTCCCATTGCCTACAACTTTGCGCAGCTTGCGAAGCTTTATGGGGCTGTGTGGATGGTATCGCAAGTTCGTTCCAAATTTTGCATCTCTTTCTGCCCCGTTAACAGATCTGATGACTACAAAAAGAAGATTTAGTTTGACTGAGGCAGCAATAAAATCGTTTGAGGAACTAAAACAATGTCTTAGCGAGGCTCCAGTTTTATGTAGTCCCGACTTCTCCAAACCTTTCGCTATACATTGCGATGCTAGCAAAACCGGAGTAGGAGCTGTGTTGGTGCAAGTTTCTGAAGAAGGAGACGAGCGTCCTATTGCCTTCATTTCGAAGAAATTAAATAAGGCGCAAAGGAACTACACAGTCACTGAGCAAGAATGCCTAGCAGCAATCGTAGCTCTTAAGAGTTTTAGGGCTTACGTTGAAGGACATAAATTCAAAATAATAACCGATCATGCTTCATTAAAATGGTTAATGTCCAATCATGATCTAAATTCGCGTTTGGCTCGATGGGCTTTGGCCTTGCAAAGGTATAATTTTGAGATTGAGCATCGCAAAGGTTCGCTTAACGTAGTTCCCGACTCCTTGTCTCGGGTGAACGAAGACGTGATGGCGGCAATAGACTTGCGGGAAGGATTCCTTGTGGATCTTAATTCCGATCATTTTAAATCAGAGGAATATACGCAGCTCGTTCAAAAAGTGAGTGGAAATCAGGCAAATTTTCCTGATCTCAGGGCGGATAGCGGATATGTTTATCGAAAGGCAGAGCATTTGACAGGAGAGCAAGTGCACGACGAATATGCTTGGAAGCTGTGGGTGCCTAAGGAACTGGTGCCTGAGATACTTTCTCGAGCTCACGATAGCTCGTTGTCTGCTCATGGCGGAATACACAAGACAATTGAGAGAGTCAGGCGGTATTATTTTTGGCCAGGACTCGTGGCAGATGTCAAAGCCTACATCAATGCTTGTGAAGTGTGCAAAACAACGAAAGCACCAAATTATGTTTTGCGACCACCGTTAGGGAAAGCACCAGAAAGCCAACGATTTTTCCAACGCTTATTCATAGATTTTCTCGGACCTTATCCCCGATCTAGAGGTGGAAATATAGGTATTTTCATCGTGCTTGATCATTTTTCTAAGTACGTTTTTCTAAAGCCCGTAAGAAAGATCGACTCCAGTGTCGTTATAAAGTATCTCGAAGGAGACTTATTTATGTCGTTTGGTACTCCTGAAACGATTGTTTCAGACAATGGGTCTCAATTCCGGTCGCATGCATTTCAAAAGTTGATGCAGCAATATACTGTTACGCATACACTGACGGCAGTACATTCGCCTCAGGCTAACGCCTCCGAGCGCGTTAACAGGTCCGTCATCGCTGCAATTAGAGCGTATTTGAGGCCTGACCAAAAGGACTGGGACGAACACCTAAATAGGATCAGTTGCGCACTAAGATCGTCCGTGCATTCAAGCCTGGGTACTACACCCTATTACATGGTTTTTGGGCAGCATATGGTCAACTCCGGGTCCACATACTATTTGCTGAGGAAGCTCAACCTTTTGGATGATCGATCCTTAAAGTTTAGTCGTCAAGACTCGTTTGACGTTGTGCGGGAGAAAGCATGTAAGCGAATGCTGGAGAAACACTCCGAGAACGAAAAGAAATACAATCTTAGATCTCGAGTTGTGTCTTATGCAGTGGGACAAGAAGTGTTTAGAAGAAATTTTAAACAAAGCAGTTTCCAGACCGGATATAATGCTAAATTTGGACCTTCTTTCGTGAAAGCAAGAGTGCGAAAGAAATTAGGAAGCGCCTACTACGAGTTAGAAGACTTGCAAGGAAAACCCGTAGGCACATATCACGCGAAAGATATTCGCCAATGATCTGGCTTCAGTCGGCATCAGTCTAGGGTACCAGTGGTATGTATACCCTAGCCAGATGTTACCGGGGGACTTTTGTAGTGGCGACTGAAGACCCTGCCACGGAAATCAGCCTAGAAGGATGCTACGCTTTATGTGAAGCCTAAGCCTAGCTTCGCCAGTTTTGGCGATCACGTAAAGGTGGTCAAGCGACTACGTAACAAAGCTTTGAGCAAGCTTGCACGTGCCGTAATGTAGAGCTGCATTTAATTAAAACGCGTTTTGGCATATTTAACAGAGAATTTACATTTGCTCTGAAGACGAAGAAGAGCGCATTTGCCAATTAGGAAATTTTTCAAGCAGACTTTCCGTTTCCGTGGGAGGTCTTTTTAAATCAAGGTCTAGAAGAGCATAGACGTGTCGGGTGCTCGTAATTATCAATAAATCAGACAGTGGCAGTGAATCGCGTAAACCAAGTGTTGAAGTGGCCGCTGAAAGCTTCGCAGAAAAAGTGAGTAGAGAAGTGCCAAATTTGTGGGGCACAGTGAGTAACCTTTTTGTTGCCCAGGTTAGGAAAACTAGAAAATTGGAGGCAGCAAAGCAGCGTCGACGCACGGCCAGGGCCAAAGGTCGACAAGACCTTTCGCCAAGGGAAAATCCCTTAATTTTGTTACCAGGGCTCAAGCCAGCGGGTAATTATGAAAATAGAGTGTTTGTTAAAGGCAGTGCTTACTGTTTGAATGGAAAAATTTACAGATTGGGCCCTGCAGTAAAGAGTCAAGTCCCTAGGCAAGGGGTACCCCTAACCTGAGGGGATGAAGTAGAGAAGCTACAACCAGCGCAGGAGGAGCCGATCCCCAGGAAAAATCAGGCCAACAGCGCGGATGCGCAACTCATCTCTTGGCCAGCTTCGCGTCGGGAAAAGCGATTAATTCTTTTTTTGTGAAAATTTTGCTAACCACGCGGGTTAACCTTGACCTGACCCCTGTGTTCTAACCTCCTCCTAATGCAAGTGAAGAATAATTTTAAATAGGGTTTTACCCTTAAAGCCCATTTTGGTTACTTTTTCTTCTGAGTTTTGTGCGAACAATTTGCTCTAACAAAGACAAGGTGATTAATGGCCCAAAACATTTGTTAATATTGGCCTTTGAATTTAAAAACTTATGCTCGAATTATGCTCTCGATCTGCTTGCGTCTAGCCGTGAATTTAATGAAGCCGAATAACGAAAATTTATGCTGAATTTCCAATATTTTAATTTAATTTATTATTAATTTAGTTTTTTAATTTAATTTTTACACCTTTATTTTTTTACTTCAAATTAAGTTCCATTGTTGCATAGCAAAAAGAATAATAATATAAGAAAATAGGGCCATTCGGACTTTAACCCCTTTTTTCCAGAGAAAAGCTTCGAGGGAGATCGATCTTCGCCGATGGAAAATTGAGTGAGTCTAAAAAAAAAAAGCCATTCGAATGAAAACATGCAATTGAAAAAAAAAATGGAAAATACTTGAAAACTTAAACAATTTAAAATGATTTAATTTAAAATATACAAAAATAAAATCTCCATAAGCTAATGCAACAATTGAAATTGAAATTGAAATGAACTAAAGACATGAAGTAAATTTATTTTAATAGTTAATAGAAAAGAGAAAACATGAAGTAAACGAACATTTAATAATACAAATTAAATTTGATTTAAACTTTTAAGAAAAATTATTTCTTTTGAATTTTGTGCACAATTTTTAAACACATATATGTACATCTATGCACCTCCTTAATTTTATACATTTTAATTTTAGCTTATATTTATCTTTGTTAGCTTTAAGTATTGAATTAATTTTATTAAACCTGTTTTAATTTTAAAAATCATGTTAGCTTAAAAACCGGTATATACCGACTCGTAGGATGACTCCACGGTCGTAGGGTCCTAAAGGGATCACCAGAGCCATGCTCTTGCGGCAGGTGATCGTAGGTTGGGTGGGCACAAAGCGAGCACAACAACATCTGTGTCTCTGCATTGTATAGATTTTCTCTCTGTCTTCTCTTCTCTCTACTTCCGCTTTTCTTCTATCTTCTTTATGTTGTGTGAATGTTGTTTATCATTTCTTCCGGTTTTGTTCTAGCTTTTATTTTGTCGCAGCACGCTCAAGTCTAGTCTTTGTAATAATAATGTGTAGTCGTTGTCCGAGATCTGGGTGAGCAAGACCTCCACCCCCAAAGCCGACGAGCTAGAGCCGGAAAAATAAAGCGTGCCCCAGCAGCCCAGATCCTCACCAACCCCGACGAACTTTATGGTTGCACGCTACACTATATGCATTTATTTCCAGGGTCACCAGCGCGGGATTCCTGGCACAGAACTCCGTCAGATCCGAAATGGCAAGTGATGCGGTCAGGCTTAGCTTGCCAATACGAGTATTTGCAATCTCAATTAGATTGCTCATCGAACGATCTGCAATATAAAGTAGCTTTAGTGGCTATAATTCTATTTGGATGGACAGCCACTTGCCTGCTATATTCACAGTGATCTTCTTGATTTTTGGAAGCCGATCTTTATCCACCTTAACTCGCTTAAATTGGCCGGAAATGGCCAGCACGATTTCGTCAAATATATATTGGTGATAACTGAAATATGAATCAGATTTGTAACTAAGCTCAAGGCTTTTAACCAGGGGGTTCTTCAACAAGGCCCTTATAAATTTGTCAAGATACTGGTCGACTCTTTCCGCTGTGGCTCCTTGCAAAATTTGGTGTATCCTCTCGAACTTGACTGTCATGTGGCTGTGTGGCACTTCCTGGAGAGTAGCGATCTCCATGTTATTATACATTGATATCGACCAGGCTTTAACGATGCGTCGAATTTTCCTACAGGTGCCGGCAAAATTGAAGATGTCCGCATATTTAAAGGTGTCATAAAGTTCATTTTTGTTTCTTTTTTCACATTCCGCCTTTAAATAGTCCAGTATACGAAATATTTCGAAATGACTAATATCTGTAAGGCCCGTCATATATATGTATATGCTTGTATTTATAAATTGTTACGCGCTGGTGCGATCTTATCTACCGAGGCACGTCCGATTTGCAGTGAGTTTCAGGGTAGACTGGGTTTCTGTCTCTGAGAGGATTGCCATATTGGCGAAAAAAACATATCCTATAAATAAAGGGTTTATTGATTAGCCAGAAGCTTTGTTTAAATAAATAAACTAATATTATTATAGCTTTAAGATCAATATATAGCATCGTACTGCATTTGATATAATGAAATTCAAGTAATTAAAATCTATATATTTGTCAATGTGATGAATATTTTCTATGAAAATAAATTAATTAAAGTAAAAAAGAGGAATTGTATTATAATATTTAATTTATAATTTATGATTTTAGTCAGAAGCTTCTAACAGCTTCTAATCAGTGTTTTTCAAACTTCATAACTAAGCCAAAAATGCATTAAATTTAATTCGGAAAGCTGTTTTGTGCTAATATTTAAAGCGTTAACAAATCTGCATACTTCGTTGTAAAATTTAAAAAATTCAATTTTGTGTCGAATTTTGCAAATTTTAATGATGTAACCCCTTATCTTTTTTTGAAATTTTGAAAACATGGCAAAAATTTATTTTTCCACAAGACATGGCTCGATCGATTCAGCTGTTCATTCTGATCAAGAATATATATGATTTATAGGGTCGGAAATGATTCATTCATTGTTCTATAAGCTTCTGATTAATACTAACACACAGCAAAAAGGTATAAAAATAGGTGGTTTTTCTAAATAATCAGTGTTTTTCAAACTTCATTATCAAGCCAAAAATGCATTAAATTTAATTCGGATAGCTGTTCTGTGCTAATTTTTAAAGCGCCAACAACTCTGCATACCTCGTTGTAAAATTAAAAAAATTCAATTTTGTGTCGAATTTTGCAAATTTTAACGATGTAACCCCTTATCTTTTTTTGAAATTTCGAAAACATTGCAAAAATTTATTTTTCCACAAGACATGGCTCGATCGATTCAGCTGTTCATTCTGATCAAGAATATATATGATTTATAGGGTCGGAAATGATTCCTTCATTGTTCAATAAGCTTCTGATTAATATTAACACCCAGCAAAAAGGTATAAAAATAGGCCGTTTTTCTAAATAATCAGTGTTTTTCAAACTTCATTATCAAGCCAAAAATGCATTAAATTCAATTCGGAAAGCTGTTTTGTGCTAATATTTAAAGCGTTAAAACAAATCTGCATACTTCGTTTGTTGATGCTGTTAAAAGCTTCTGACTAAAATTATATGCCCAGAAAAAAGGTATAAAAATAGGCGGTTTTTTTTAAATAATCAGTGTTTTTCAAACTTCATAACTAAGCCAAAAATGCATTAAATTCAATTCGGAAAGCTGTTCTGTGCTAATTTTTAAAGCGCCAACAACTCTGCATACTTCGTTGTAAAATTTAAAAAAAATCAATTTTGTGTCGAATTTTGCAAATTTTAACGATGTAACCCCTTATCTTTTTTTGAAATTTCGAAAACATTGCAAAAATTTATTTTTCCACAAGACATGGCTCGATCGATTCAGCTGTTCATTCTGATCAAGAATATATATGATTTATAGGGTCGGAAATGATTCCTTCATTGTTCAATAAGCTTCTGATTAATATTAACACCCAGCAAAAAGGTATAAAAATAGGCCGTTTTTCTAAATAATCAGTGTTTTTCAAACTTCATTATCAAGCTAAAAATGCATTAAATTCAATTCGGAAAGCTGTTTTGTGCTAATATTTAAAGCGTTAACAAATCTGCATACTTCGTTTGTTGATGCTGTTAAAATCTTCTGACTAAAATTATATGCCCAGAAAAAAGGTATAAAAATAGGCGGTTTTTTTTAAATAATCAGTGTTTTTCAAACTTCATAACTAAGCCAAAAATGCATTAAATTTAATTCGGAAAGCTGTTCTGTGCTAATTTTTAAAGCGCCAACAACTCTGCATACTTAGTTGTAAAATTAAAAAAAAATCAATTTTGTGTCGAATTTTGCAAATTTTAACGATGTAACCCCTTATCTTTTTTTGAAATTTCGAAAACATTGCAAAAATTTATTTTTCCATAAGACATGGCTCGATCGATTCAGCTGTTCATTCTGATCAAGAATATATATGATTTATAGGGTCGGAAATGATTCCTTCATTGTTAAATAAGCTTCTGATTAATACTAACACCCAGCAAAAAGGTATAAAAATAGGCCGTTTTTCTAAATAATCAGTGTTTTTCAAACTTCATTATCAAGCCAAAAATGCATTAAATTCAATTCGGAAAGCTGTTTTGTGCTAATATTTAAAGCGTTAACAAATCTGCCTACTTCGTTTGTTGATGCTGTTAAAAGCTTCTGACTAAAATTATATGCCCAGAAAAAAGGTATAAAAATAGGCGGTTTTTTTAAATAATCAGTGTTTTTCAAACTTCATAAATAAGCCAAAAATGCATTAAATTCAATTCGGAAAGCTGTTCTGTGCTAATTTTTAAAGCGCCAACAACTCTGCATACTTCGTTGTAAAATTTAAAAAATTCAATTTTGTGTCGAATTTTGCAAATTTTAACGATGTAACCCCTTATCTTTTTTTGAAATTTCGAAAACATTGCGAAAATTTATTTTTCCATAAGACATGGCTCGATCGATTCAGCTGTTCATTCTGATCAAGAATATATATGATTTATAGGGTCGGAAATGATTCCTTCATTGTTAAATAAGCTTCTGATTAATACTAACACCCAGCAAAAAGGTATAAAAATAGGCCGTTTTTCTAAATAATCAGTGTTTTTCAAACTTCATGATCAAGCTAAAAATGCATTAAATTCAATTCGGAAAGCTGTTTTGTGCTAATATTTAAAGCGTTAACAAATCTGCATACTTCGTTTGTTGATGCTGTTAAAAGCTTCTGACTAAAATTATATGCCCAGAAAAAAGGTATAAAAATAGGCGGTTTTTTTAAATAATCAGTGTTTTTCAAACTTCATAACAAAGTCAAAAATGCATTAAATTCAATTCGGAAAGCTGTTCTGTGCTAATTTTTAAAGCGCCAACAACTCTGCATACTTCGTTGTAAAATTTAAAAAATTCAATTTTGGGTCGAATTTTGCAAATTTTAACGATGTAACCCCTTATCTTTTTTTGAAATTTCGAAAACATTGCAAAAATTTATTTTTCCACAAGACATGGCTCGATCGATTCAGCTGTTCATTCTGATCAAGAATATATATGATTTATAGGGTCGGAAATGATTCCTTCATTGTTCAATAAGCTTCTGATTAATACTAACACCCAGCAAAAAGGTATAAAAATAGGCCGTTTTTCTAAATAATCAGTGTTTTTCAAACTTCATGATCAAGCTAAAAATGCATTAAATTCAATTCGGAAAGCTGTTTTGTGCTAATATTTAAAGCGTTAACAAATCTGCATACTTCGTTTGTTGATGCTGTTAAAAGCTTCTGACTAAAATTATATGCCCAGAAAAAAGGTATAAAAATAGGCGGTTTTTTTAAATAATCAGTGTTTTTCAAACTTCATAACAAAGTCAAAAATGCATTAAATTCAATTCGGAAAGCTGTTCTGTGCTAATTTTAAAGCGCCAACAACTCTGCATACTTCGTTGTAAAATTTAAAAAATTCAATTTTGGGTCGAATTTTGCAAATTTTAACGATGTAACCCCTTATCTTTTTTTGAAATTTCGAAAACATTGCAAAAATTTATTCTTCCACAAGACATGGCTCGATCGATTCAGCTGTTCATTCTGATCAAGAATATATATGATTTATAGGGTCGGAAATGATTCCTTCATTGTTCTATAAGCTTCTGATTAATACTAACACCCAGCAAAAAGGTATAAAAATAGGCCGTTTTTCTAAATAATCAGTGTTTTTCAAACTTCATGATCAATCCAAAAATGCATTAAATTCAATTCGGAAAGCTGTTTTGTGCTAATATTTAAAGCGTTAACAAATCTGCATACTTCGTTTGTTGATGCTGTTAAAAGCTTCTGACTAAAATTATATGCACAGAAAAAAGGTATAAAAATAGGCGGTTTTTTTAAATAATCAGTGTTTTTCAAACTTCATAACTAAGCCAAAAATGCATTAAATTCAATTCGGAAAGCTGTTCTGTGCTAATTTTTAAAGCGCCAACAACTCTGCATACTTCGTTGTAAAATTTAAAAAATTCAATTTTGTGTCGAATTTTGCAAATTTTAACGATGTAACCCCTTATCTTTTTTGAAATTTCGAAAACATTGCAAAAATTTATTTTTCACAAGACATGGCTCGATCGATTCAGCTGTTCATTCTGATCAAGAATATATATGATTTATAGGGTCGGAAATGATTCCTTCATTGTTCAATAAGCTTCTGATTAATACTAACACCCAGCAAAAAGGTATAAAAATAGGCCGTTTTTCTAAATAATCAGTGTTTTTCAAACTTAATTATCAAGCCAAAAATGCATTAAATTCAATTCGGAAAGCTGTTTTGTGCTAATATTTAAAGCGTTAACAAATCTGCATACTTCGTTTGTTGATGCTGTTAAAAGCTTCTGACTAAAATTATATGCCCAGAAAAAAGGTATAAAAATAGGCGGTTTTTTTAAATAATCAGTGTTTTTCAAACTTCATAACTAAGCCAAAAATGCATTAAATTCAATTCGGAAAGCTGTTCTGTGCTAATTTTTAAAGCGCCAACAACTCTGCATACTTCGTTGTAAAATTTAAAAAATTCAATTTTGTGTCGAATTTTGCAAATTTTAACGATGTAACCCCTTATCTTATTTTGAAATTTCGAAAACATTGCAAAAATTTATTTTTCCATAAGACATGGCTCGATCGATTCAGCTGTTCATTCTGATCAAGAATATATATGATTTATAGGGTCGGAAATGATTCCTTCATTGTTAAATAAGCTTCTGATTAATACTAACACCCAGCAAAAAGGTATAAAAATAGGCCGTTTTTCTAAATAATCAGTGTTTTTCAAACTTCATGA